CTTTGCCCCGCAGAAGTGTAACTTCCACGTCCTCCGCTCCGGTATGCACGGACTCTCTAGTTCACTTTAATTCTGCATTCAATTTACTCAAACAAAGGGGGTTAACTAACGTATCGGGATCGGTTAGAAAGTACGGGATAAAATACCATTATACCACAGTACCATAATGTTGTACAGCATAAAGGAGAATCACCCTTGAAGACGAACAAAAGCCTCGAGCAGTTCCAGTTATGTAGTTTGAGAAGAACACAAAACGTCAAATTCAGGAAAGTATATGTTGACTTAGCCATGGTCAGCCTAGCCCAGATTTCGAGTCCACACTAGTTATACTTGGCATGCTTACCCTGTTGGTGGTCTCTTCCTTATTGTCGCCAACGTGGTTGTAGAACTGCCATTACAAGAGACTGATAGCCATTTGATAGCACACTAACACTATCTGATATAGCTATAGATCTATGATTTTAGCATATATTACATGACGCCTTGTATTTTCTTTACATCGTTGAGACCAACAATGAAGGATAGAATTAGAGCTTCTGACGGAGAGGCGGGTGTAGAGAGGCATCTACTCAACAGACTTGATGTGTCTATTTCGAATACATCAAATCGTGTATTTCGCTTCAGCTGAAAGTAGCTGTAGCTGTTTGTATTGAGAATCTATGCTATGCCAGGCTCTCAAGCGAGTACCTATCAGAGCTGCAATAATGCACCTAGGCCATCAGAAACTCCGATAAGGAAAGTTCCAGTTTGTAACGAAGTATCGTCAACTTCGATCATGTATCCTACAGTGATTTATGGAGGAAAAAAACCAAAACTACCTCCTTTCTGTTTATCATTGATGAAAGTTTACGATGGCGAAGAAAAAATAGGACGTATGCGTAGTTTTCGATAATTTTGTGGGCAACTCTTTTTAGGCAACTGAGCAGCAAAGAAAGCGAGCTTCTTCTTCTTTTCATCTATAATTTCTCTACAGCAAAGGATGATATGATCTATAGTTGCCCTTATAGCTCTCTTGTGAGTAGTAGGAGCTTTGATACTACTTCTGTGCAGTATCACTGAAAGGTTTACGTACGAATTGCCATCAAAATTGACTTCAAAGTCTTCGGATCGAAAGGGCATAGAAGCTATTCAGAAACATAGCTTTCAAAGTGTATTCGTTCTTTCTATAACTCATGGTAAACTCGCTATATCAATACACTAAATGGAATAGCAAAATCTAGTTCTAGTTCAAAACGTTACTTTATTGTAGGCTATTGAACGCTAAGATTGATAGGTATGTGGACACATTTACAACTACAACTACTGATCTATTCTAATGTACTAGTATCATTTACAAGAGAGAGAAGCTACATACGCTACTCTACTATTACTACTACTACTTTATGTTTTTATATGCATTTTGTTTTTTAAAAAAAAGGTTCCCCTCTTGTTTAGCGGTCCCCAAGGTCAGCAACTGGAGCGTCCTCCAGCGCATTCCATACAGGGAGGTCTAAACAAAACTAAGACAGGCTAGCGACCATGTTGCCAGTAAGCGGTAAGACGCCTGAAATAGGATCGAGCCAAGGGGCGTGCTGGACAGGGTGGCAAGTCCTGCATAAGCACCGTTCGCTCTCAAAAATATGAGAGCGGTGGCAAGAATTAAGGAACAAGCGGCAGCTAACATGGCGGTCTTTTATAGTCTTTCACATGGCGAGAATTCACGTCATATCATGACTGTTCTCATTGACGTAGGCACTATCGATGAGGTGGATGCATGAATTTTGGTGATGGTTCAGAGCCAGACAAGCTGTTGAGTGTACTGTCAGAGGTCAAAGTGATGATCGTGAATAGATAGTTCGTGGTCATCTTTGCTCCACAGAAGTGTAACTTCCACGTCCTTCACTCCGATGTGCACGGACTCTCTAGTTTACACCACACCTGCATTCGTATTACATAAAAAAGGGGGATAATTGACATATTGGGATCAGTCAAAAAATACGGACAAACATCATTGTACCACAGTGGATCATGTCGCTTGTCGTAGGTGAACAACACCTTTCGAAGACGAAAAAAAGCCTCAAGCAGCTCCAGTTATGCAGTTTAAGAAGAACACAAAACGTCAAATCCAGAGAACTTTATGCATACTTGGCCATGATGAGTTTAGTCCAATTTTCGTGTTCCTATTAAGTATACTGCGTATCATTACCCTCTTTACTTCACTGTTGCGAACATGATTGAAGAATTGTAATCCCATAAAGCAGATAGCTTTTGAAGGTTTACAACCACTCTATATCACAACTATAGCTATATGACTTTAACATCTATTATAGGACGCATTGTATTTTCTTTGCATCGTCGAGATCAACAACAAAGGATAGAATTAGAGTATCTGACAGGTAGTCAGGGAGAGAGTGGAATCTATCAACAGAATGGATGCGTCTATAACAAATACATCGAATTGTCTCTTTGCTTCAGCAGAAAGTGTCTGTAGTCATTTGTATTTGAGAATTTATGCTATACGAAAATCTCGAGCGAGCCTAGTTTTTCAGAAATTCCGAGAAGGAAAATTTCAGTTCGTAATGAATTATCGTCAACTGTGATCTTGTATCTATAGTGATTTATGACAAAGAAAGCCAGAGCTACCTCCATTCTGTTCACCGTTGATGATATTTTATGATGGCAATCAAAAAATATGATGAATGCGCAGTTTCGGTGATTTATTGTCAACTCTTTCTAGGTAACCGAACAGCGAAAGAAAGCGATTCTTCTTCTTCTTATCATCTATCAATATTTTATAGCAAAGGATACTAAGCTGACCATTCTCTCTGTTGTTTGATACCGTTCCAGTGAGTTATCTAAGTAGCGAGCATGACTCGTCCAATTTCATTCAACATATGCCCATCTTGTGGCCTGGTCTGCTGTAAGAATATCATGCTCCATCCTTTGTCTTTCGACCGTATCTCTGGAGGAATTTTTTGAAATTCATCATTCGCACCCAGAATTGCCATATAGTCTGACTCAAAATGGATGTAGGATAATCTGACTCTGCGATGGCTTCCCAGGTATTGAGCGCTTAGAGCATAAACTTTTGTTGGCATTGTTGGATTGAGGTCAGGTAAGTTTACAAGCAGATGGACCACATTTTTGGCGTAGTTGGACATCAGTGAAGGCGGCTCAAAGTTTTATCCCGGCAGATTGGCGGCACTGCAAAAGATAGTTGATTGGTTTGGATTTACGAAGAGAAACCAGTTAAGGCTGACACCAGCTCATTCTATGACCGATATTCATCGCCTATGACGAGACATCCCTTGCGAGTTGGTTTTTGAACACGTAAGATCACGGACCGAAAGAGAGTAGCAAGCTGACCAGCTAGCTTTAGGCAGAACACAATCTGGTCCGGGCCACCTCCCGTCGTATACTGGCGAGAAGACGACAACTAACAAGCATACAAAATATTTCAATACTCTTGCAACACAGTAATACAAAAAGAAACCACAATACTCCGCAAAATGTCGATAAAAAAAAGAGCAATACGATCATCAATGAGCTTGATATTCATAATCTTTGAAGTCAGAGCTTTCTGTTCCTTCTCGGCCTCCTCCTTCAACCTCGCGGCCACCTCTTGAAATTACATTTTTCTTGGGTTGAGCCGCTATGCTCGGCTGCATTGCCACCAAGGCAGTGGTACCAAGTTCGGATGGCGCGAGCCGTGCTTCATAATGAATAGATCCCATGTCAATGTGCAAGATTCAGACCCACAAATAAATAGATATTGCAAAAAGGATAATGAAAGGAAGGCAGAGTATTGTCAATCGTACGGCGCAGTTTGAAGATGGTTAAAAATGGTAAATAAGACTTATGGTATGGTAGAACGAGGTCTTTTCTTTATACGAGAGATTTCAGCAGCGAATTTTCCATCTTCAGAAAGCAGTAACGTAGAAGAGAAGTACGAGTGTGAGTAGGATTGCACCTGAGCACCAAGAAAAGCAAATCGAAAGTAAAAATATAAAGTGAAGAGGATATAAATTCGAGGAAGATAGTCGCCAAAATTGGGATCTCACATCAAGTCCTTCACACCAACATTTGATGAAAGAGAGGCGGTAACGTTGCGCACGGCGATAAAACAATTTGGTTTGAGCATAAGTATGGGTTTGCGACTTAACGCCATGCTAAGACATTTGTATTTTTCTCGCAGGAGTATTTGCATTTGTAGCAATGACAGGTAGAGTTGGGCGAAGGAGACGGATTGGTCTTGAATAACCAGCTAACACCAGTTTAATTAGGACTGTATTTAGAGCACGGAATGAGAACAGTCAGAAGTCAACCAGCATAAATTATACTAAGTATCATCTCTAAGACAGTTATATGTGAGGAAGTAGCTTAAGGCATTGCTAGTCGAATATCATAGTAAAGATAAGGATATCTGAGTGAGATGTCCTTTTTTTCTTGGTTCTTGCTGCGGTAAAAATTATACGATCCACTTGAATAAAAGACTTCTTCAGAATTCCATTTTCAGCCAAGAGGGCGACAAGCATCAACTCAAACAATCAATGAGACGAAGGAGAACGCGCGGCCATCTCACCAGCCTGCGCCTTACTTAGATGGTCCCAGTGTGGAAAAGTACCTAGACATATCGCCCAAGTTACAGAAGTGGTTTCCTATAGTGAGCACCACTTGTTGTAAATCTCGTTCAAATCGCCTAAAAATTGATACCAGTGATGGACCCGAGAAGCCTAACAGATAGAGGAGAACACATAAATGACAAGTAAAGTGCAAATGATCGCGAACAGGGACGAGGTGATTGAGAGCGTGATAGGACTCAAAAAGTAGGGTCAGTTATATTGATGAAGCTACAGAGTTCATTCAGTGGAAATTTAGAGACAGCAGTCGTCTGGAGGTCATCGCAGAGAAAGGGTTATATCAATCAAAATATAGGCCATTTGCGATGGTCATCTATCATTTGCACGTCGCGACCTGAAATTTTGCAGCAGTCAGTGACTCTTTTTGTGAGCTCCGGCACAGATCATTCCACTTCCAAAACCCACACCATGCCAATGTCAGAATACAAACGCAAACGAGATGCCTGCCGCATAAGAGTATTAGACAAATACGAAATCATAGGGTTTATCAGCTCTGGAACGTACGGTCGTGTCTATAAAGCTCGATCGCGAGACAGGTGAATGCTCAGCAAGAATGATCCCACATACAATCCAAATGACTAACAATTCCCAGCAACGATCCACGAGAATTCGCTATAAAGAAATTCAAACCAGATCGTGAAGGCGATACCCACCATTATGTTGGAATATCTCAATCTGCCTGTCGAGAGATAGCTGTGAGCCTTGTTTCCTTTTATTTACAGACTTTCATAAACCAATACTAAACAGTAAGTTATAGTTATGCAGAGAACTTCGGCAAGAGAACATCGTAGGATTGGAAGAAGTACTGCTGGAGGATAAGGCTATATATATGGTCTTTGAATATGCTGAGCACGATTTCCTGGTAAGTACTATCTTCACAACCATTGCTAAGGTTTCGTTACCCACCCTATTAATCTGCGTACCGCCAGCAAATTATACACCATCATTTGCATACAGAACGGAAACCGATTCCAGAAGTTGTTGTCAAGTCCTTTTTATGGCAATTGTTGAACGGAGTGGCCTATTTGCATGCCAATTGGGTGTTACACCGTGATCTGAAGCCAGCAAACGGTAAGTTATCCGCATTCTGCGCGCGCTCATTATGTTATAGCACAGACTGACATCCTCGTAGTGCTACTAACAAGAGATGGGATTGTGAAGACTGGTAAGGAAATAGCATATCGCAGACTCATTTGCAACCTGATTGTAACATCTATACAAAGGCGATCTTGGTTTAGCGCGGCTCTTCAATCGTCCGCTCCAGCCATTGTTTAATGGCGACAAGGTTGTGGTCACAATATGGTATCGTGCACCAGAACTATTACTTGGTTCCCGTCATTATACAAAAGCAGTGGATATGTGGGCAGTGGGCTGTATATTCGGTGAACTTTTAGCCCTCAAGCCTATATTTAAAGGAGAAGAGGCCAAAATGGATAGCAAGAAGAATGTACCATTTCAAAAGAGCCAGCTGACCAAGATATTTGAAACGCTAGGAACACCTACCAGTAAGTAAGCGAACCCATACGTTAACATCAGTTACATAATGTTAATTTTTTATGTGCTTAGAGGAGAGATGGCCTGCCATAGACCAGTTACCTGATTATGCACATCTTAGCTCATTTGTACAGTGAGTAGAGTTGGTACTTGTTTGTGAAGCTCGGATGCCGGACTAATTGCTCTTGCAGATATCCTAACCAGCTCAAAAGTGTATATCAACTCATGCCTGGCGCCAAAAGTGAAGCTGGCTTCAACTTACTTTCTGCTTTACTTGAGTACGATATTGAAAAACGAATCAGCGCTGATGATGCATTAAATCACCCATATTTTCAAGAAGAACCAAAACCTGTGATGAAGTAAGTGGATGAGAAAGACGAAGTTACCAACCCGTAGTGAACGTAGGCTGACTTGTTTACAGTGTTTTGGCACAACAGGGTATAGAATACCCTCTCAGGAGAGTTACCTCAGACGATATTGACATTAAATCTGCAAAACCTGGACAGGCAGCAAAGGATGATGCATCTGGTCGAGCTGCTAAGAAGGCACGAAACTAAACATAACACCACCAGTATACCAATCATGTAATTAAATGGCCATCGTTGTAATTTTATTCAACTGCAGTTGCAATTTTTGCTAAGCAATCAAAAAAGCCAGTCTTTTAATTTTCTTAAGTTGTGGTGCTTGTCGTCGATATGAATATTGGTTTAGGTCGGGTGAACGCATTTACTCGTTTTGAGATACGTTGACGATATAGTATGGTAGTGCAGCCTGTTGAGTTGCGCATTAGTTGAGCATTAGACGACTAATTGTATTTCAAAAAAAGTAATGATTTATAGTACCTGTATCTTCTTATTGCGATCGCATTGCACAAGCCAGTCAGGTTTGACAATTGGTATGGAATATCGCATAGCTTTTTCATAGTTTGGCCCTCCAGGTAATTGAGCCAAGAGGTGGGTTGTATCTGCGTCCACTTCATCTGACCATGTTGCGTTCATGCGCTCAACCAACTCTTTAAGTTCAGTCACTGCTGGCTCGGGTTCCTCGAACGTTCCAAAGGCTACCTTAATGCCAGTAAGGTTGTCCATCTTATGAGTTCGTACAGTCACCTTGTTAGACTGGAGGCTACCCGAGGTTGTCTTTATCACAACATAGAATTCATATTCATGGTCAACTTCCAATCCAGACAGTTTGATATGGTTCGTGTCAGTTGGAATGTGATGCTGATACAGTCGAATTATTAGCGGCGTCTTTGTTAGGGTCCCAACGGTACCATTGAACTTACTTGTGCCAGTTTGGTTCCATTTTTATAGATATCTAAAGATCGCAGCTTTGCAGTGTGTAATACCAGTTGATCCCACTCCAAGGTGAGAGAGGTTTGTGTGATGTTTCGGACGCGAAGCATAGGGGGTTCTGGCTGGTCTTTTCCGAATGATTCGAAAATGCCTTCTTGAAGATCCCAAAACTCTTTCATCTTGATCTCCTCTTCAGAAAGGTTGCGAGTTACAGAGATATTAACTACACTTCCAGATGTGACCCCCTGCGGGAGCAACAGTGACGGAAATTCGATCAGATGGTGATCCTCTGTCAACAAGATTGCCTATCACAGGTGATTAGTTCGCTACTCAGAGTCCTACATGTCGTGTTAGGTGAAGTCAATATTTACCATTCCGGCATCTAGCTTGCCTACTGTGAATTGTACTGATGTTTCTGTTGATGGCTTGGTCATTATGGATGCAGGATACTAAGACGAAGTCTCAGGGCAGCGGAAGTAACCTGAAATGCTATATTTGAACCCCGACTTCAATCAGTGACTGGCAGTAGGATTTGAGTGTTTCTTTATGCGCTTCGCCAACCGTTTCACTCACATCAACAATCCTTTTACATTGTATGACAGTCTTTATATATTCAACAGAAGCAAATTCCTATGATAATTTTTTTCTAACACTCTAACTTCGGATATAAAACAAAATGTAAGCAGTCTGATCGCCTGTGAAATGGTTATATTTGTATGCTCGGTCATCCATGACCACGTTCGCCTCTGGAATCTCAGTGATTGTGGTATCGTCCAAATGGAGCCATTGATTATTTTGCCGCCTGATATCACAGGTGTAGTGTCCACCACCAGCAGATGCGCCATGATGATATACAACTGTAACAGACTCTTTAGTATATGGACATTTACAATCAATGACACAGCAAAAGATGCAACTTTACCTCCAAATAGCTTATATTTTACAGCTTCAGTAGGCCTCTTGGCAGCAGAGATCCATTCTATAACAGTTTCAATGTTAGGAAATTCACAGTGAAGATGTCTAAAACGTTCGCTGTCAACCCTCACCTGATTTGATGGTCAGTTCCTGGTCATATCGTATATGCTTCTGTAACTTTTGCACACCGCCAATGTTATCGTAAACAAAGCGCTTGACATGTAGAACTAAAACAGGTGGCAGCGTTTCGAGGAAGATTTGCTTAGTCGCATCGGTAACGATACCTTTCGTAGAGATGTAATCGTGCATTATTTCCGGTACTGTCATATTCTCCAAAGCATCTTCTACTGATCGAACATGGTCAGGAGTGATATCTAGAGGTAAAGACTGGAAAGGCTCTAAGGTGACGGAGTCCTTGGATCCAGTACATCTCAGTATGGATCGTATCTTTCCACCGAAGATCTTGCTGATAGGTGACTCTGAAACCTCCATCTTTAATAGCGCGTACCATGAGTATTGATTGTCATAATTCACCGTCATTTGAAATATATCAAAGGTTAACTCTTACCGTGCGCACTGTACTTGTTCTATTTTTGGGTCCGACCTCCATCCATCCATCCATGTCATTTACGGTAGATATTTCTTCCGATTCCTTTATTGTCTCTGTCTTCGGGATATCTTTGGTTTGAACTGTTGAGCACGAAGGAGAAAATGTCAATACATTTTTTGGTAGATTCTGTCTCAATTGAAGAAGATTGACTCACCAGTTATCATTTCCTCGTGAAGGCCGTCCAAGAGGAAACACAGAAACTCTTCAGCATCTTCTTGTCTACCCTGCTTACAGTGCGTTAATATATGGTTCCCACAATGAAATCATTTTGTCCTATAACGTTACCTTCATGGAATCGAATCTTTTTCGACCACGTAGAGCATCATAGACATACTCGGGAGCAAATGGTGCGCCATACGCCTCTTCATTTTTCTGTTCTTCTGATATAATCTTGAATTCGGTGACAAATTCAATCCTAGTCAAGAGAACAAACGTTATTAGCGACATCTCGAATACGAAGAAAGCATGAAGCGACAACCGGTACTTACAGCGAGTCGACTAGTGGAGTTTTACTGTTAAAACTGTGTGCAACGTAGAGGCCGATAGTTCGGATGAGATTGTAAAATGGTGGGCAGTGAACCAATGGTTGTAAGATCTAGTCAGATTAAGAAGATCAGTAACTTGCAGCAAGATAAATCAAAGATCGAGTCAGAAAACCTACCACATTCACAAAACATGTATTTACATTGTTGATCAAGCCCCTTGGTTCTAACAGGGTCCAATCAAAAGTAGGCTGGTAGTTGCTCACAATGGTTGAAATCCCAGTGAACTTCATTGATGAAATTACTTCAGCGTTGTTAGTGACAGCCGATGGATTTGCTGAATTTATCAATGGTTGCGATTTGACTGATCCTGTCGGTTGTGGACGACTAGGTTTAGGTTGTAGTAAAGCAGCCCAACTTGACGGTGGTTGTTTAGGTTGCTGTGGGGGCATTGTCGCTTGATCAGTGGCAACCTTTTCTGTTCTTTTTCCATCAACAGGTGTTGACGACGATACAGACTCAGTCACCTCAGGCAGAGCTTGATGACCATTGACAGAAGCGGGCAAGTGGGTTGTAGTTGATTTATGAGCAGCATCATGCTGTTTTGGTCGAGACCGTGCCTTTGGCTTACCACCGGCGTAGAATGGTACCTAAAGTACAAAACTTGTTATCTGGGCTGTGTCATGATATAGCCAGCTGGCTGCCATCTAGCTTACCTTCTTTGGAGGATTCAAAGGCACACCAGCCAATGTCAGTGCTTTATTGATCTCCTCGCGAGAGAGATCGCCAAAGCAAATGTCTGTCAAACCTTTAGAAAGGATGTCCGTCTTCGGCTTTTTGAGTTCATTTGGGTGTGGTTTCATATGGTTTGTGGTATCCATCGAGGGGTTCCGGCTTGATCGACTGGGCGATTGACAAAGATTAGGTGTTTTTTGCCTTCAGGAGCGTTCAATTGGTTGAGGTATTGAGAATACGAAATATTTTTACAAATCTATAGGGGTTTTGGTAGCGATATTATACAAATTGTGTCTTTTTCGAAGAGGAAGCTTTCAGACGCATGCTTCAGCTCTGAAATTCAGAACGACACCCTAAGTGAGTGTTTTTGTGTGCTGGGAGCTGGACGAAAAAACACATTTCATTTGAATGACCAAATTCAATTTCTCTGACAAATCAAGGTTGACGTCATGTTCTGTTTTTTATTTGGCCCTTGCTGGTCTGCATAAACACTTTTGTTATCTTTTTCTAAACCGATTGCCGTATAGACATGTTTCGCCTTGCTGCTACTCGCTCTGCATTGACCGCCTCCCGTGCCGTCGGCCGTCGCAATGCTTCCACCAACGTTGCCGTTCAAAACATTGAAACCCGTTGGAAGACTCTCTCAACAACTGAGCAAAACACCATTGCAAAGCAATTGGAAGAAGCACAAAAGGCCGATTGGAAGCAATTGTCTCTCGAAGAGAAGAAGGCAGCATGTATGTTTTATCTGCAGTGCTCATCAACGCAACATCTGAATAATTTCGCTAACTGATTCACTTTTGCTGGATTCAGATTACATTGCTTTCGGTGCCCATGGTCCCCGCGAACCTATCACCAAGCCCGGTCACAACCTCAAGGTTGTTATTGGCACCATTGGTGTCGTTGCAGCCTCCGCTGCTCTCTTCTATGTCATTCGTCAGAACGGTAATTATTATCTATCCACAATCAAACTTTTGATGCAATATGCAGCAACTTACATTTTATATTTCTATAGCCATCGAGAAGCCAAAGACCATCAGCAAGGAATGGGAAGAGGCAACCAACGAGTACATGAAGGAGCAAAAGATGAACCCTATCTCTGGTATCGCCTCCGAGGGCTACCAAGGCAAGGGTTACGTTGTTTCAAAATAGATAGAATTTTTCAGCAAAAGAATCCAATAACAACCTGTTTACATATGGAGTATCTGATGGATTGTGAAAGTGCAATTAAATTAATGTAACTACAAGAATCATGACCACGCTTTGATATCGATTACGATTGTTCTAGCTGCAGCGCCATAGGATGTGCGCTCCACACATGTACAAGTGCTTAAAAGGTTGTGGCTGGCATATCAATAGTTTTTACAGATGGAAAAGGAGATAGGCTGCATTAACGCGATGGTGATAGTGAGATCAATTTGCAAAACGAGAACAGCCGCTACAACAACCATCCAAGTGGTAAAGATGATGGTTGATTGTACACGGTATAGTGAACAGTACGGAGATTTTAGAAAGAAAGTTATAGTACCAGCGCATGAGAGAGCATAATTAGAGAAGCAATGAATCATCAAAACAAGCCACGTATATATAACGGTAAGGCTTCCCTAAACAATGAATTATACAGTTAGGGTAGGGCATCTATGATAAAGATCGACCACTTGCCAAAAGCTTCTTAAGAAACTTCCGAGGCCAACTTCAACATGTACTATCAAAAAAGTTTCCATATTTTATTGTTTGTGAAATCGATCATATAGAAGTAGTTCAATGGAGGGAAACTAGTACGATGGAGGTAGCCGAAATGTTGATCTGGCCATCCTTAACAACCTCTTGAACCACTCTTCCAGAAGGAAATCCAGATTCGGTTGCATAGCTTTGACCAGCCCATGTCAATCCCTGCGCAATGTCAGCATGCGGTACGTAGAGGGTTTTGTAAGTTGCCTTGGTATGCTTGGTAATTCCTTGAAGCTGAACGGTGATCACGGGGCGGCTTCCTGTGCTGGCATAGACCCATGGTTGAGAGTTGATGATAACGATGCGCACCAACTTTCCTTTCTCCCATATACCGTACGATGCGATGTAGTCTGAAGCAGCTGGGAGTTCCGCAATACGGCTCTTTCCGGAATTTCCAATGGCTTCGGCTACGACAAGGAATGCATGGTACTGAGGTTGAACTTGAGGTCGAGCAGTGGTGCTATTTCCAATAACAACATTACCAACCGGTTCAAAGATGTTGTACACAGCTGGATAGTACGCCTGATAGCCAGAAGCAATATTATTATGATAATATGTGCGGCTAATGTTCAAAGTAGCGGCTTGCAATGAATAATCCGTGGCCCAAATAGCTGTTGCTCCAGTGTTCGAAGCATTAGTTGCACCACCATTATAGAATGAATTTGTTTCACCCTTCAGTGGTTTCAATAAGTCCATTAGCGAGAGTAACAGCAACCCAAATCCTTCACCTTCATACCCGTACTCACCAAAATGTATCGCAAGCCCTTGGAATTTGCATATGCTATATCAGACTTGAATGAAGCGAGCTTGGATCTTGAAAGTCCCTTATTCAAAAGAGTGCTGACTGTACCGGTAGCGCCGTCACCCATGTACATGTGCTGGGACACTGTGTTGATTCTAGCTCCGGTATCACCAGACAAAATACCTGTGTTAAGCAGACGGGTGATACTAAAGTTGCTTGCTGAATGTCCAGCAAAATCTCCCGCTTGAAACGCCGGACCTTGACCGGGAACCAACTTGACTGCTTGAGATATGTTTTTGGCAAATTCGGTCCATCTAAATGGAATTGTTAGTGTCAATTCTTTCGATCACATGCTTTACACCGATATAATACTCACTGCGATGCATACGAGTCCACGCCATTAAAGTAAAAGTCTGGCTCGTTACCAATTTCCAATAATTCCAGCTTAACAGAACCTTGGTTTCCGTGTGGAAAGGCGTTGAACAAAGCGGTTGCCTCGCCCAGTGTGTCGGTCAAATTATCAAATTTTAAATTAACACCATATGTAACCACTGTATTCTTTGGAAGATTTTCCGACAACTGGAAAAACTTTGGTCCCACATAAATTTGCATCTGCGTAGGATTAGGCACCGCTGCTGTACCTGCTGGGAGTCGTACGGCAATATCTACTGAAGAATCGAAATAGGTGCGATCCTGCGTATTACCGCCAATTCTGAAAGACATTTGTTAGAGCATATTAGTCATCTAGTAAGAGAGCACGATTATCAAGCATTTGCTTACCGCATTGCCGGGGGCAGTCCAACCCGTTGGACAATGTTTTGTATAACATTATGAGTAAATTGATTGGGGTGTCCGAGTTCACCAGCATAGTATTCCAGACTTTGAAACTCTAAACTCATTGAGCACAGTCGCTGATCCAGGAGAGTGGAATTGGCCGGCTGCGTGGTTGGTAGTGATATGCTTACATTTTGACCCGCTACCAACGCAAGTGAGGCAAGACCAATAATACCGATCGTAAAAGTCCAAGGAGCCATATTCAAGACTTGTAGATATCCGAGGGGACAAACCACTATACGTTGGGTAGACCATTATATACTGCAGGGACAAGACGGTTGGTGCTACCTGGCTAAACCTTTCTATCATGTAGTGGTAACAGTGAGATACCTTCAAAAGGCTTGGTGTTCTCGGGCGATTATCCCCACATTTGTAATTTCGATGTATGTTTTGTGTTACGATGCATTAATGTTCTCACTGACTGCTTGTATACCTTCCCGTCGACCAGTGAAACAGCTTGTATGCTTCTTTGTGTTCAAGGGACTTTTTTCCTTAAAAAGTTTTTGTTCTATAATGGGAAACTACCGAGCTTTAAAGTAGCAAGACTTTATATTAACTTCTAATGATGTGGAGACTTTGCTGCAGCGGATTTTGCAAGCGGTCTTCCCCACGCCAAACGTGGTTTGATTCTAAGATTCCGCCGTCAGACTATGCCAGAGCACTTCTAATTAGATCGAAACACCAGATGACTTCCTCATATGCAGGCGCCATCGCATCGGTTTCATTCGCTTCAAAATAGCTATAGAGGATGAAAGAGAATATGTGCTGTTCATCGGAATGAATGAACTTTAATATAATCAAAGATCGCAAGCAAGTTCTAGTTCCATGATTCATCACTTTAGTCACTGCTACGTAGTTTCTTTCCTTGACTTTCCTTCATCAGTAAACAGAGGACACTGCTACCAGGCGTCGCATCACGCTATATGATTATGACAGATTGCAAGTTGCCACTAGAGCTTGATTCTTGATCGATTTCACTTTGAATCAACTAAAAATTGAGCAAGTTCCGTTTAAGTACGGGCTATGGCAACAAAAATATTGTGGCTATGCACACCATGTTATTGCAACCTGTAGCTTAAAAAGAAAATACAGGAAAAAAATAAATAAAATATTAAAAATGTGGAGAAGCCCGGCATCGATCCGGGTGCCTCTCGCATGCTAAGCGAGCGCTCTACCATTTGAGCTACATCCCCATTTGGTTAGCAGTTTCCTTTTATAGTCAAGTAATTCTGAAGAACAATATCATTCTTTAAACGATGCAAATATTACTGTCTAAAACGCTGATGCTTTACTTCTAGAGTCTCTATATCAGCATTAAGTAATATTACTTATTGTAATTCTAATTTCAGATACTTATTTGTCTAATTTTGATGAGAAAAACACTACCATTTGCTATTTCGAAAATTTTTACTAAAAATGAAAAAAGTATCACCAAAGAGAAATGAAATTGTAGCAAGGGAATGATTGAATTTAATGAAAATAAACTACGTGATAGGCTAAAATTTTTGAAGGCGTTCAATTTCGTTCTTCACAACAGAAATGCGTCTGCTATACTGGTTCATCATTGAAATAAACCGTCCCACTAAAAACAGTAGTCTCCGACGTGCAACTTCAGACTGAAAAACGTTTGAAATCGGGCACAAAGATTGCCATTGACGTTTCAATATATTCCGCAACATGATATGCTTTTCTGGCATATGAGCGTAGAATTTACGCTTATATCTTGATTTCAAACGGCACCATAATAACCAATTAAATTATATGCAGAAGAGCCACAATAATTATACCTATTTGTGAGAAATAAGGTACGAGAGAATGCTTTTTGACTCTTTTAGTTTAGAAAAAGGAGTAAAACATTATGCAAGCCAAAGGAGAGCCAGGTCATGATTATCTTGTGCGAAGTTTAGTAGAATGCTTAATAACAGTATTACAGAACTAATTGCCAAAATGTGATCGCTGCCGTAATATAGCTAAGGGGCGCTTATACAACCGGTACAGTGAGAACAGAAAATAATAAAAATAATATTGTTAATAATGTAAAATCCAAAGAAGAAATTGGGATACATATTATGCTTGCTCAAGAATGCTCCTTGCTCCACAAAATCTTGTAAATTTATGATTGGCTTATAATAATTTAAAGTAGAAATTGATTGGTTGAGCAAACACACACAGTCTCAAACAATTGGCTCAAATTTGATGCCAAGCATACAACTGATTCGTCACAAGCATTGCGATATAATACCGACTTTAGCCCAACGTGGCTAACTGTTACCCAATCTTTTACCATCTGCTAGTAAATAGATGAACGATCCCTACCGTACACAATCTCCATACGGGGGTACCAACAGAGGTCAATCGCCTCCAGGCTATCAATCCTCACCACAGCGACAGCAAAAAGCTGTCATGAAAGTCGGACAATGTCCAAATCCAGATGCAGCTCTGTCCAATTATCTGTTTGTAGCTCCTGGCCAATTCGATCCTAAAGAGCATTACCTACTGGTCAATGATCAATATGTTTTTACCTTGGTGTAAGTCCTCTTTTTCTCGGATTTTTAACAGACACCCGTCAATAACCTTTCGTTCTTTGCTAGCGCTGATGAAACGCTACCCAAAGGAATCATTGGCACAAACTTGATGCATAGGAGATGGGCTCAGTTCTCTCTGAAGCAAGATGTATATGTTCGACCATACGACCCTTTCCAGGCTGGATATGACATATATCTGTCTGCGATGCAAATCGAAGTCGGCTTCTTCAAGAAGTCATCTCAAGTTGACACAGAAATGAATGCAGAAGATATGGCTCAAGTCTTCTCCAACGTGAGTACATAACATAGATGCTTACGATGACGAATGAGTATGTATCTGACTTACCTTTTTGGGTGAACAGCTCTTTAAAAATCAAATATTCTCGTACGGTCAACTCATTGCCTTTGAATTCAATGGTGTTACTCTCGCATGTCGGGTGACAGGACTAGAGGTGGTTGAACTCAGTGCCCTCAAGAAAGGATTCCGGGGCGAAGTGGATGCTAAGAATGACGAATTTCAAACCGCTGCAGAAAGAGGAGTTTTAGTTCCGCAAACCACAATCCAGTTTAATCGAGATCCCGACTCACCTATTCGTATTAAGGATAATAAGCGATTACAACGAGCAAAACCACTCATTCGAACAGACTTCAAGTTCGAAGACATGGGAATTGGAGGTTTGGACTCTGAGTTTAGTGCTATCTTCAGACGTGCCTTCGCTTCTCGTATTTTCCCTCCTGCTATTATCGATAAACTCGGTATTCAGCACGTCAAGGGTATTATTCTCTACGGACCTCCTGGAACCGGAAAAACATTGATGGCTCGCCAGATTGGAAAAATGTTGAATGCCAAAGAACCTAAAATTGTCAGTGGTCCCGAAATTCTGAGCAAGATGGTTGGTGAGAGTGAACAAAACGTTCGAAAACTGTTCGTTGATGCCGAAAAGGAATTTAAAGAAAAGGGAGAAGAATCCAGCCTCCACATCATTATTTGCGATGAAATAGACGCTATCTGCAAGCAGCGTGGCAGCAGAAATGACGGTACTGGTGTTGGTGACTCTATTGTCAATCAGTTCCTTGCCAAGGTACGTTCTTTGACATTTACGATCAGCAACGAAGTGACATGTATAATAACCACTCGAGCAGATGGATGGTGTCGAACAACTGAATAACATCTTGATGATCGGTATGACTAACCGCTTGGACATGCTTGATGATGCCTTACTCCGTCCAGGTAAATTATGCGTCTTCAAAATGGGAAAAGAGAGCGTATCAAAGTCTGACAATAAGTAATGATTTGTAGGCCGTTTTGAGGTGCATATGGAAATTGGACTCCCAGATGATGCTGGTAGAGAACAAATTTGGAAAATTCATACAGCAAAGGTAAATGATCCGGTTTATTGAGTTATTTAACATGAAAGTTTTTTTGGGCTGACATACATGAAGATGCGAGAAAACAACATTTTGGATCCTGCAGTTCATTTGAACGAGATGGCTGGCATGACGAAAAATTATACTGGTGCCGAAATTGCTGGTGTTGTTAAAGCAGCCTCGTCCTATGCCTTCAGTCGTCATATCAAGGTGAGTCATCAATATTTTTCATAATGGATACATTAGTTCGGTGCTGGCTATCATTTTGCATCCTAACATAGTGTGCGTTTACACGCTGTTCCGTTTATTGTATAGGTTGGATCTGTCGCTGGAGTTGCACCCGATGTCGAAGATATGACTATACAGCTGGAAGATTTCAAGGCAGCCTTGGATGAAGTTCCACCAGCCTTCGGTGTATCCGAAAACGAATTACAACAATGTGTTCAGAACCATGTGTTGAACTTTGATGATGGTGTCGAGGTCAGTGTGCCATAATTGACCTATTAAAATGAGTGTCCAAGTCATTAACGCTATTGCCTTATAAGACCATTCTGACAGACGGAAATCTGTTCGTTGAGCAAGTCAGAAACTCAACCAGAACACAGGTTGTCAGTATCTTATTACATGGTGCTGCTAATTCCGGAAAGACCGCTCTTGCCGCTACTATTGCCATGAAGAGTCAATTCCCATTCATCAAGCTAATTTCACCTGAGGCTATGATTGGATTTTCTGAATCAAACAAAATCAACCATATCAACAAGATATTTAACGACGCCTACAAGTCGCCACTCAGTGTCATTGTTCTGGATAACATTGAAAGAATTATGGGTATGTGATGATCGCATCAAGTTATTATGAGAATGCTCAATGTACTAATAGGTCGTGTTAGAATGGATTGATATTGGTCCACGATTTTCCAACGGTGTCTTGCAGGCGTTACTTGTCCTTCTGAAGCGAAAGCCCCCGAAGGATAGACGTCTGCTTATTATCGCTACGACTAGTCAGCGTGGCATGTTGAGCAGCATGCAATTGGATGATGCCTTTGATAGTGAATTCAAGGTCCCAATGATTTCCAGAGTTGAAACCGTCGGCTTCGTCCTCGAGGTGAGTCCTAGTTTCTGATACTGCTATGAACATGTTTTCCTGTTGCAGTGAATGTTGACATATACTCTTCTTTGAATTTAGCAACTCAATATGTTCAGCGATGAAGAGAGAGAATATGCACTTCAACGACTTCACAAGAAGAATTTGGATGGCCGCTTTGAGATTGGTATTAAGAAGTTGTTGATGATCGTTGAAGTTGCCTCACAAAGCACCAACAAGGTTGAAAAGTTTGTCCAAGCGATATCTGCCACTCAGGTTCCTGGACTTGGTGCCGATAATGCTGCCTTCCAAAGATATACGTAGATTTCTTGTATACTACTTCGAATGGTTCATATATAGAGATATCCTGAACTTGAAGATACCGCATTTAATGCAGCTTTTATACTTACACACATTTTTAGAGAGGATGTGAATTGTTGCCTCACACTCTATAAAGCTCATAGCTTGCATTAATGGGGTGATGAGCGAATATGTAAAAAAAAAATTTAGTGACTTCCACAATACGCTTTCTTACTTCACTTTCATCCTCCAAAATAAAGCATCCCTTTTTACCATGAACTATACTCGATACACAAGTGATGAATCGCATGTCATGACCGCACATGATCCAACCTCAGACCATACTATTTCACCTAACGAAGCAGAAGGTGTATGTACTAGTATTGATCTCATCAAGCATCTCACTATCTGTAGTCTAACATCAAAAGGGGCATACGTGAAAATCAGGTAATATATGCGCTCCATATAGCTCGAAATGCTATTGGCGCTGTATTCTATGATGGTGGAAGCAGAACTCTCAGCATCATGGAAGATGTACCTCAGACTGAATTGAAGTCGGATATCGAACAATGTGAGTGATTGGCATCTATCTTACATATATACGCCACTGGCTCATCGGGAGAGACCAGTATTATGTCAATGCAATGTGAAGGAGGTGTTAATATCTGCTGCGGACTCGGCTATGAGTGCGGATATGATTAAACAGATGGGTAGCGTATAGTCATTTTCATCAAGTCATAACAAACAAATGTACATACCAAATTAACCATACTCTCTATATAGGCTACCAAGTCAAAGAACTGCCGTCGAGGTATTTCTGTATTGCGAAAGGAAAAGTTGCAATGGAAGATTTGGTTGCTTCTCATCATCAGGAGGGAATGCGACAGAATACATTGGGTGCTATTCCTGTAGAAGAAGGACAGTCGGTACGATTTCTTACGCATGCACAGTTCAAGTTATGATGATAGTTCTGACGTACTTGAGCCAGCTGGCTTGTACCAATGCAATACTTTCCTATATTCGTCAACGCAGCGATCCAGACGCGACGGATCCTTATCTGTACAATCAGACTCTTCCCTTAGTTCTGGAGATATTCTCAATGTCAGTACACTGTTTTTCGTAAGCAATCTTGTATGCTAACTTATTCTTCCTAGGAAAAACATCATGAAGATCAGCAATGGAGTGCTCCAGTAAGTATCACGTTAACAACATTTTTTTTTTTTCGCAAGGTCTATCTTGAAACTGAACGCTCTACTTCGTTCGAGATCCCTAGGTGTCTTTAGGCGAGATTCGCACCCTAGTGTACATCAACCTAAAGTTAGAGGAGGATTTTCACTGTTTGGTAATTACAAAAGCAAAATCGGCACGTTAGCGGAAGATATTAATGATTGAAGGATTAGGAATTATGAACTATACACTGACGGCAATGGGAGCAAAGAAGTTGCGACAATGGTTTTGCCTACCCACCTATGACATTGATATTCTAGAGGAAAGACAGAATGCCGTGGCATACTTTATTGAAGCAGAAAATTTGCTTATTCGCGATCAATTCCGGGCTTGCCTAAAGTTGATGAACAACGTCGAATTTACGGTCGGAAGAATGAAGACTTCTAGTAATTTAAGCGACTGGCGACATCTTCTAAGAGTTAAGCTATTGTCAAAAAATTCTTTTTTGAAACGGGTTCATTAACAATGTTCCTCTAGTTTGCAATAGGTGCCAAAAAGCTTCACTATTTGGCGCAAAACGTCACAGTTGACTTGGAAGTTGTTCGAAAGGTAAGCATTGATACTTTACACCAAATTATTTTAATAAGAATGTAAGCTAAAAGTCAACAGATAACATCAGCCATTGATCTAAGGGTGTTAGAAGCAACAGCTATATCCATAGAGAACACAGTAAGTAATTTCAAACCAAAGCGGGTTACCACAACACAAGTCGTTCTAAAGCAAGCAAGAAGATCGACTTCACCAACAGCCAAAAAGAAGGCACCATAGTCATAAGATCAGGGATCGATGATGTGAGTTACTAATTAATTCTCTGCAATCGCCTGCTCATACAGAATTACTAAATCACTTGTAGTGGCTAGACGAAACGAAGAAGGCATATTGGGAACTAGGTGACTTGCTAGTGTGTATTCCCGCGTCTCAGGTTTGCATCTTGTCGTTAAACCGGGTAACTTAGTATGTAATATATGACAGCGCCAGGTGGCCGAGGAAATCAACAGTACCGTGCCTAGCTTTATAGCTGATGTATTGGATGTTGTCTACCTTCCTCAACTCGGTTATTTGATAACACTACCAAAGAAAATTGACCCGTCTAGCCTTCATTCGGACGAGTTCCAATTTCAGGTAGTTAACATGGGGAGATTTTTATCAAAGGCGGTCAAAAATGAACTAAAATAGCAATGCGCTTTCTTACAGTTTTCTGCAGAAGATACAAACTATTACAAAAATTCAAACACAAGAGGTGATGTACTTAGCATGCTACTTTCACTGCCGTAGGTCACTTCATTTAATACAGGATTTAGAGCTAGACAAATCAATAGGCGACATTCATGGAATAATAGTTGGTGGGTACCAAATTCGAATACCAAATTGGATATCAAACAAACTAAGGATGGGAGAAAGATCGCGAAATAGAAATATCTCAACGATTAGCGGCCGAGCTATTAAAAAATGAAGATTTGCTACTGAAGATTTCGGCAGCATCTGCTGATTTAGATTGGTTAGCTTATATCTTTACGTTAAAAGGTGGTGCTATAAGGCTAACAAACAACAGTATACTTTCGTTTGCCATGTCTGCCGAGAAATATAACCACATACGACCAGAAATGACTACCGAGAATATTCTTATCATCAAAGACGGAAGGTTCGTGTCCTGTCATTGATTCAGCAACAACTAACGCTAATAATACATTCGGACAATTCCAGGCATCCGCTGGAAGAGTTACTTATGGGTACTTTCATTCAAAATGATACATATTTAGGATGCTCAAAGTCGAGTACACACTCAGTACAGTCAAGCTACTGGTCAACTGAAAAGCAAGCGGTACATGATAATGGGATAAATGAAAACTATGTTTTGCTTCTTAGCGCACCTAATCAGTCCGGAAAAAGCGTATATCTCAAGCAGGTAAGCTATAGTTTGGAGCATGCAAAGGCTAGCATTTCCATGCTCACAGCTCTCAATAGGTCGCATTGATCGTATATTTGGCGCACATTGGAAGGTAGAGCTATGAGCAGCCATGTGCAATTCCTCGTTAAGACAGCATATCAATTATTTTTCATAGCTTTGTTCCAGCAAGCAATGCACGGATAGGGCTTACTGACATGATTGTGACAAGAATGCAAACTTTGGAAACTGCTTCAAAGGTGAGGGTTTAATATGTGATTTAACAATTGAATATTTACTAAGAGCAAGCATTTTGCAACAGGCTAAAAGCGCATTTCAAATTGATTTGCAAGAGATCTTGTTCTCTCTCCAGTACGCAACATCTAGAAGTCTGATATTGTTGGATGAGTTTGGAAAGGTACGTAAATAATATCAAATTAGATGATGGTTGCTTTATGGTCAATTCACAAAGTAGTAGGGAACAGGATCCTGTGACGGAGCGGCACTACTATGCGCAGTACTCGAGTATTTCATAAATAAGCAAGATGGGTGTCCAAAAATCATAGCTGCAACTCATTTTCATGGTATCTAATGTCAAACTTGAATTTTTATGGTGACATGCTAGACTACTCATACAATATCTTGTTGCAGAACTTATTGAAAGCGAGCTTTTAACACCATCCGTCCCAATTTCCTATTGTACAATGGATATGATTTGTGAAGAGAAGTTTTTAGATCATTGTAGGAATGCTGACGAGATCGAGAATTGGGCACCAACCTTTCTATACCGAGTTATACCGGGGCGTCGTCATAATGGACGATCTCTTGCCATATGGTGTGCCAAAAATGCTTTGGTTCCACAAAGGACTCTTACTCGAGGTATGACACTTTTTCAAAAGCGACTGATGTTTGAACAAAATAACGTAAACGCAATTGTATAGCTGCAGAAATACTGAGCGTCTTTCTCAAGCAAGGATTCTTACCGCAGGAAATGACGGCTTTCAAAAAACGAGAAATCAAGTATTGCGAGAATACAGTTCGGACCTTGGTGACTACCAATACGCGGGACACCAGCGCCGAAGTGTTGCGCCAGTTCATTCAGTCGCTGAATTAGACATTTCCCCAGTAGTTCTTACCATTAAGTCCAAATAAAAGTTCATGTCAGACACCAAGTCGATTTTGGGTAAGCTAATGTCAATTCTGTAATATGCCATTTTTTCTTTGTTCGGTAGCCAACTGATTCATTTCCCGTGGACCTGAATCCGTACTTAGTGCCTTGCCCGGTATGCTCGAAGCTGACGCCGACATGGTACATCAATGACCACTTAGATCGAGATTGCCCTCAGCTTCATAAGCAAGACACAGCAAAGGATACTCCACAAGAGGCATCAAAGGAAGTGCGTAGCCCGACGCAACAGAATCCATGGACTCAAGCTTCGCCACAGCAGAGCCCTTTGAAATCGAGTCCAACGCAACAGAACTCTCGAACACAAAGCTCAAGTCAACAGAATTTTCTAAAGCAAGGATCTACTCAGCAAGGACTTTTGCAAACCAGTCCCTTGAAACCTCCTCCCGCCCAGCAAAGCCTGGTCAAGACAGGTACCTCGACGTCAAGCAAGAATGAGAGTGTAAGTTGCGAAAACAGTAGAGAATTTGGAAAGCTCGATGATTTAAGGAGATTATTTCGTTCATTAGATCTTCAGTATGGGCAAAAAGCGATCGATGGACGAATCGGACGTGCCGAAGAACGGTTTATCGCAAGAGAAACAGACAGCGCAGGCCGCTTCTGCAGACACAAAAATGACCAGCAAGGACAGTGGAAGACCAATAGAAGCGTCAACTCAGAATCCCGGCTCACCAGAACGAAAGAAACCACGAATACAGTCTAATGTTAATAATGCGATGCCATTAGCTGCTAAAGGTAGATGTTGTGACAAAATGCGAGTATCATGCCTAAACACTCACACCTATCATCCCTAGTGCGGCCGACTGCAATGGAACATTTTGTTGGGCAAAATGATCTAATGGGCGAGAACGGTATTCTGCGGGCATTCATTAGAAATAACAAGCTTCCATCGATGATCTTATGGTATGTGTCGAGAGAAAGTCTATTGGAGCGTCAGAACCTTTAAACCAATTGTGTGAACCTTGCTTTGTAGGGGACCTCCTGGCAGCGGCAAAACCACCATTGCCCGGTTGATATCAAAGATGGTGTCTGCGCGATGTGTAGAACTGAGTGCGACATCTCATGGTGCCGCTGATGTTAGAAAGGTTGCCGACGAGGCCATGAACCATTTGAAAATGCTTGGCCAGAAGACTATTGTATTTTTGGACGAAATTCATCGATTCAAAAGAGATCAACAGGACATATTGCTTCCACACGTCGAAAGGGGAACCATCACGCTGATAGGCGCCACCACCGAGAATCCAAGGTATGAGATCTTGAGAACCTGTCGATTTTATCTTTTGGAGCACCTTCTGATAGCTTCACACTAGTTTCAAATTGAATTCAGCCTTACTGTCACGATGCAGGGTGTTTGTACTTAACAGGCTGAGTGAAGAGGAATTATATCAGATTGTGGCACGAGCGTTGCATATATGGAGAAGTGACGAAGAAGGATCTGAGGAAGCAGCGCCAGTAACAAACAAATCAGACGAGGCTGCTTTGCTCCAGTTGGCTCAAGTGAGTGACGGAGATGGTAAGTTTGAGTCAATGGACACAGACTGGAAACCTTGCTCTGGTACTCACAATCATCCAAAGCTCGTACCGCCTTGAATATACTCGACATTGCTACTAGCGTTCTTCCGTCGCCATTAAGTCCGCTTACACCAGAGGACGTGAAAGGTAAGCTAGTACTCAGCTGTGCAATGCGTTTTTAAAAAACAATTAATCAAAACCCTTCCATTCTCGTATCTCAGCTGCGTTCCAACGGTCGCATCTATTGTATGATAGAAATGCGGAAGAACACTACAACATCATAAGCGCACTTCATAAGAGTATCAGAGGAAGGTAGGGGTGTGCAATTTGTTGACCTATGCCAAGTTGGATTCAAAAGTGCTCACACCGTAGTCTTGTAGTGATGCTGATGCGGCATTGTATTGGCTGGGCCGAATGCTTCAAGGAGGAGAGGATCCATTGTATATTGCTAGGCGGTTAGTGAGAGCAGCTAGCGAGGATATTGGCCTGGCAGATAACACTGCATTACCACTGGTAAGAAGAAGTATACTAGAAAATAATAATCAGAACATGAGACGCAATCTAACTTGCTAGGGGCCCATTTCAAGGCAGTCAGCGCATATCAAGCTTGCGAGCGAATTGGAATGCCCGAATGTGATACCATATTAGCACACCTTGTTGTGCACCTTGCAGAAACAAAGAAGAGTGTTCGAGTATACAAAGCATACAACAAGGTAAGACTTGTATTCAGTCGTGCGAGGCAGAATGGTCTATGATATTTATCTATTGGGTTCATACAAAGGTCAAGGAAGTCATTGCTAAGGAGCCAAATTTACCTGTTCCAATGCATATACGGAATGCACCAACGAAGCTAATGAAGGTACAGTCAGTCTGCCCGTAAGTTGATGAAAATGGCTTCGTTAACTCAATGAAATCTGCTTTGCAGAATCTTGGATATGGGGCTGGGTACAAGTACAACCCAGACTACGAAGAGCCCGTCGATCAGGATTACCTCCCCAAAGACTTACCCACCAAGAAGTTCTTGGACACGGACTGAAGGATATGTAAAAGAGCAGCCAAAGAAAGAAAGCATACCCAGTCTTGATGAGTCTTTACTTTATTGTAGAAACACACATATAGGACAATCGAAAGAGCAAGAAGAAATGAAATATAACATAAAGAAATCATCGACGGAGTCAGACAAAAATCAACACAAAGCTGTACACAAAATTTAGAAAGGAAGAATTGGATGGGAAAATGTCTCTTTTGTTCTTTACTGGCAATTATGAGTCCAATGCCATGTCATTATCACCAGAAGGTCCCAGTAACCTGTTTGCTTGTTCTTCTTTTTCGGCTTTTTCGTGCTCTGATAAACCACGGCACCATCCCGTCGTAGACGATTCCAACCAGCTGTTCCACTTGGGTTGTTTTTGTATTTCAGTTACCTCCGTCGTTTGGGAGCTTGGTGGTCTCATAAAGATATCTTCTGACCCGATGATATAGAACATATGATATGTGTCCCGACATATCTTGTATTGCATCCCTGATCTTACAAAGAGTTTGTTGAGATGCTTGTCATGGAGATTAGGACGCAAGTTTCTGTAAACACATGGGTCAGCACCGACGGTTCTGCATGGACATGTCATCCACTCAACTCACCTCTTGAGGAACGTGGGTTGTAATCGACTTTCATCAATGCCCTCCGTTGTCTTTACCCAGTCCATGTAGCTAGCAACGTAGTTTTCATACTTGTCCTCAGCACTAGTCTCAAGCATGTAGTCGTCTTTTCCAAGAAGTTGAATGGTCATCTGAAGGCTATCATTATCCTGTTGGTGGGAGTTTGCAGGCAATCAGCAAAGGAACACGACATATAGAATACGAGTTAGCAACTTACAAGATTGATCTTATAAAGATTTTCGTCAGAGCCCACAATATCCTCAGCTCTCAACCGATAAACAGATATGAGTCGAGGAGAAGTGCTCTCTAAATCACGGTCGCTCTGGAAAAGCTGAACCAACTCAGAGGACTTTGTGTCATGCGACAAAGTTTGAATCTGGTGGTGGAAAAAAAATTAAGAACATGGCCTTCATTGTACATCAATATGGGTAGTGTCGGCTCATACCTGTTTGATCAATGCCGACACAAGCTTGTCTATAGTGAAGAGTATGTATGCTTCAGTGCCAAAGATATATCGACAACATTCTTCAAAGGTTTGCTGTTCAATGTTGTAATCGGGATCGAAAAATTTGTCAATCAAGTCCAACAAAGCTCCATAGGTGCCATTTGAATAGTCTAGATCAAGAGCTGAAGGAAAAGAAATGAATTATTCGATCTACCTCAAGAAATTTTACTGTCGTTGGTTAAAAGCATTTAAAGGCTTACCATCAAAGCGAGTGTACTGAATACCCAGCTCGATGGCCGTCTTGTTGAGGTTCCTTGATCGCTTTGGATCAGCTTCCATTCGTTCACTCAGTTCCTTCATTTTAACCAGTCTTTCATACATGAGCTGAACACAAAAGGGGAGCGTTAATAAATGTGAATGGGTTATACACCACGGTACAAACTGCTACCTACCTGGTATTGTCTAAAGAAAACATAGAAAGAGTTGTTGCAGAAGAGGCTGAACACCGTTCGTTTGCGGGCAATGGGTGCAGTGGCAGCAGCCGCTTGAGCCAAAATACTGTCGTCTTCGTTGGTGACTGTTTCCATAGGAACATCCTCTATACCGTTCACTTTTTCAGCATCAGCTGAAGTGACATCATCGGCGGCGGCTTTACCATCCACTTCAGTGTCGGCGGTGTCATCCTTTTTCTCAACGTCGCCTTCCGTATCTTCATGCTTGACAACGGCTTCATCACTAGAGGGAGAGCCGGATCTGGAACGAGCATGGTTGGTTTCCTTTGTTTTTCGAGTCAACACATCGCGAAGCAAATCGGAGGGACCTCCATCATCATCTCGTCGAGCACTTCGGCCACGTTTGCCACGCTTACGGGAGCTAGGCGATCGACTAACATCGCCATCGGATTCGTACGAGTTGACAGAGCGTGTTTCATCATCGTCGTCCATAGGCTCATCGTCTTCATCATCATCGTCATCTTCGCGCAACAAGTTCTCAGGAACAATATCTTGGACACCAAAGCACAATGGAATGAACATCTTCATAAACGTTCGAATCTTGCCTCTATCACTCTTGTTGTCTGAACCACTTTGTCGATCCAAAAAGGAAAACACAACTCGCGTGATGTCTTTGAAAATAGCCTTGTCCGTCATAGAATAAGAGAGCTGATGGTTGGGTCTGTTGATGGCACCGGGCGAATTGTCAGACTCAGATTCCTTCTCTCTTGCATCGATCTGGTCATTATAAAGATTCTCAATTTCAGACACAAGCGCCTTTGGAACGATGGTTCGTCTGTCATTACTCTTGAACGTTGCGCCTTGATAATCAAGTGCTCGGTAAAAGTTCTTTGCATCGGTTTCTCGCCACAGTTTGTTCCATTCACGCTGTAGAAGAAATTGGGGTGTGCGTCGATGAGCCTCCCATCAAGGTTGGGCATGTTGGAAAAAGAGAGAAGAAAAACTTACCTGTGCTTTCTTCCATTCCGCATCCTTCTTCTTCAGTCGACTAAGCACAATAGGTAGAACATGGGCGGGGTTATTATGAAGGAGATCAATAATTTCATGGCCACGTTCCTTGTCATAGACTTTCTTAATGATTCGTTGATATATAGAGGTGGTTTGACCGCCAAGGCCAGCTGGTAGACGAAGACGACTCTTTTCTTCCAACGACATTTCTGCAATATCTCTAGCAAGTGGCTCCATCAAGGCAATGACGTTCAAGTTGGCTTCGATGTTGAGATCATATTCGTATCTGTAAACAATCGTTTAACAACCACCCTTGGGACCAACAATACAATATCTATGATGAGGAGAGAAACCATACCTTTCTTCCTCGCAGCGATGAAGTGCTTCTTCGTGCTGGTTCTTCTTGGAAGCTTGGAAGCCACTGTCTTCGGAGGCCCAAGTTGGATGAGATACATATTCATCATTGAGAACTTCCCAGCAGAGATCATCACGACCAGAGCAAGCAACAGTGTGCCACTAGAAAAATTGCAAACAGCGTTTGTGAGTTATAGATATCCTTGGGGTTCAGGCTCAATCCATATCCGAAACAATTTGGGTATATGTATCGACTTGAGTATCACTGCTTAAAAGACTTACCTCAACAGGGAGGACACGATAACTTGGGCTAGATTTAACAGTCTGGCAGTGAACAAGGTCAGGCTTAGGCAACAGCTCGGGAAGGTTATCAGTCAATCGATTGCGACCGTCATAACCAACATAGGCTTTAAACCATTCAAACAGCTCCCAGTTTCCACCAATGAATGGTTCGACCTGGTCAACCAACATGTTTTGGTCAATGATCTGCTGTGTATGAAGGTTGAGAACCTTCAAGAATTCTTCATAGACAGCCTTGTTGTTGAAGTACTTCTTGACACGATCAAAGAATTCAATTTCTTCAGCGGTGACAATGGCCTTATTGGATGACGCAGATGTCGGTGAGAGTGGGAAGCCTAAATGGTCATTACGCATAGAACCATCCATGCCTTTATGATAATGTTTTGAACGCTTTGAGACCTGAGAGTATTAATTAGATCTGAACAAAAAGATGTCACGACTTTGCTGAACCATTTCTCACCTTGGTAAGCGATGTAGGGGCCATCTTGTCGGCATAAGCAGGGTTTCTCTTCTTTTTGGCAACTCCCATGCCGGGAGGTGAGCCATGGTCTAAATCTTTGGGAGACAAAATAACGTTACAAACAAAGACAAGTACAAGTCGGTCGAGAGTACTCAACATACCGAATAAAGCAGCGGAAGCGGGGGTCTGATTGCCAGATGTGTCAGGAAGAAATGCTTTGAATTCATCCAACAAATCCACTGAGCCATTGAACAAGATCTGAACCTGAGCATACACCTGAGGAAGTAAAAAAAGAGCATCATCGATATCAATAAACAGCGAAATAATGAACCGTTTTAAGTCAACACTGTACCTCTTGAATAGGCTTTTGCTCCTTCTGATAGGTTTGTAGTATTTCCAGAAATTGTTTATAGGTATCCGGTTCATTAGAGAAGCGGTTCTTGATCTTGTTAACATAATTAATGGCATGGTTGAACTCCACAGGAGCACGTCGACCGCCTGCTTGTTGTTGTTGCTGTTGCTGCTGTTGTGGTGTGGATGGAGGTTGTTGATGTGGAGGTTGGGGTTGAACAGACTGATGTCGCATGCCAGGTGAGGTTTGAGACGAACTCAAAGGATGGTATATGTTTGGAGGCTGTGACATGTGAGGGATACCATGATGATGAGGTGACTGCACTGAACCAGAAGAGCCAGGTGTGTGGGGAGGTACATGCGAGTAACCTGGAGGGTGCTGGTAATACTGGGAATGCGATGGATGTTCATGGGATAGATTAAGGGGATCACCAGCCGTTGTGCTAGTAGTGCCGGTTGGCGTGGTGACCCGAATGACATCTTGATCGTTGGAGCCCACAGTACATTCGATTCGATAACCAGGAGGTAAAAATGTGTTGAAACCAGAAATTAATCCTGGATGACCTCTAAACAAAGTGGATACCCTCTCAATGACCCCAGGTGTATCGATTCTAATATGAACGGGAACAACAGTGTTAAAGTTGGGCTCAAGGAGCAGCTGAAGAAAAATGGAAACTTACGCTTGACTCTTAAAATCTTTCATGATATCCAAAAATCGATTGTATACATCTGGCTGATCAGAGAACTTGACTTTGACCTGATCCAGGTAACTTAGCGCATCTCGAACATTCAAAGGCCGGTACCCAGCAGCTTGTTGTTGCTGTGAGGAAGTGGGAGCGGCAGAGGAGGACGATGGTAAAACATGGGAAGATGGCGGTGGTGAGCTGGGAGGACGGGGGATGGATGCAGATGGAGCGGGTATGGAGGAAGTGCTCATAGGTGAAGAGGTGGCTGGTGAGTGAGACATCAAGGAAGAAGCCGGCACCGTAGAAGGGGGAGGTAAAGTGGTAGGATTCCCTCTATCGGAAATACCGTTGACTTGGTCTTGTGGTAATCCAACCATGGCACTGGGTGGTGGAAGAGGTGTTGAGGATGGCTGTCGCATAGAAGGACTGGTTTCTGATGCAGAGGGAATTGGGCTTTGGTAAGCCGACGGTTCGCTCACTCTTGCTGGTGGCAGGGACGATGGTGAGTTCGCCGATGGGGCATGTGGAGATGGGTAAGCATTGGTTGGTACATTCATTGGCGAAGTCTGGCCTTGATATGTAGCTCCAGGTGGAGGTCTAAGCAAGCAGTGGGTTAATGGTGGGGGGGGGGGTTATATTTCCATCCGCTGCGGGACTTACCTGGAGGTATTAGCCTGCATGGCTGCTCAATTCAAATACAATTCAGTGGATGTCAATACAACCAGCAGCAGTGTAGAAAGCGTTCCTATTTGCACAGAGCAGTGGGAGCAACTGGGGGAGAGACGAGAGCGCGCGCCGCCTCCGACTCACCGCTGAAAGGCCCATTTCCCTAAGCTGAGGCGGAGATGCAAAGACCAAGCCACCGGCCATTTCGCTGTCACAGGTCAGCTTCATCGGGGACTGATTAAAGGGAACCGGTGCTAGTTCAACTGGAATTGCATCATGAATGGTTTGAAGCGGCAATCATCATCATCAGACACTTGGTTAACCAATCCAAAGGCCTCTGCAGACATGGCTGCTTGGTTCGAACGTCTGAAGAAAAGCTATACTCGAAACTTTGTATACTCCGAAGAACCAGGTACGTTCCTCTACTTTATGCAAACCGCTGCTTTGAAGTGGAAAGAAGGTCTTATGGTCCAATAGTCTTTGTCCATATGTCCAATATCCGCCGTTCAGGCGACGTGTCGATGCATTCCCTTCCTTTTCAAGATTTTCTAGAAGATGATTGCCGTTTCCTCTTGTTCTTGCTGGCCATGAACGATAATTTATTAATGGGCGATATCAAATCCGATCCCAATGTTAAATTATGCTGGTAAGTCTCTGTGATTGGTTGCTTGAAAGCAACTGGCCTCTAATAGGGTTATGGCTACAGGAGTATGCCAAAAACGAAAGAGCACTTTTATCTTCAGGGCAAGTTTTACATTGCTTCGGCGCCAATCCAAGTCACGCGGTTCCCCCCACCTAAAATCGTCGATAGCGATGTGTCTGCGGTGGACTATTGGGAAGCAGAACGATCTAAGCAGTGGAAGCAATTGGACAAACGTACTCGAGCCACGTTCACTTGGCCAGCCAGTCGAGAAGCGCCCAAGTCCGACAACATTGCCTTTTCGTGCTTATCTCTAGATGCACTTCCATCCGAGCCTCTCAAAGCCAAACCTGAGCCTATCAAGATTGTTCATGATATCGCTATGGACAACTTTTGTTTGTTGATCTTCAAAATCTCGGCAGTTGAGCATTTCGATTACAGTGTGTTTCCAGCCAAACGAACGGTGAGTAGCTTTTTTATGAGCTGATTTGTGTAGTCAACGCTGAACCAAAAAGTACTTCTTTTAGATATATACGCTCCAAGGCGGCGATTGCCAGGTCGTGGAAGCCAACCCTTGATCACGTGACCAGCCTCAATCATCATTTTTCATTAATTTTGACTGCAACTTTCCCACGAACATCAAACCTTTCTTCTTTGTTCGCTTTCTATTTCGTTTGACTTGTAGTTTATTCAATATACCACAATTTGAATGTTTGAAACTGACGAGATCCGTAAGCAAATCCATCAGAGGATGCTGCTCCTTGCTTGTTGATCGTGCTTATCAATGAATTCTATTATTCAGCTGAACATCCAAACATGAGTACATGGGCACATTTTTACGCTGGAACAATCGCTGGTATGAATGAAAACAGTGAATGCTTGTGATTGTAGACGCAGTCAGCTCATACCGTGTATGCCTTTATTTTTGTAGGCCTGGCTGGGTTATCAGTCGGACATCCTTTCGGTAGGTGAATTGTAATCCCACCGCGCTGTTCTGGTATCAGTAATGTATTGACAAAATAAGACTATCCTCCATAGATACAGGTATGGCTTGTGACTAAATAATCAAGTGATCGACATTTTTCTATTGACACTATGTCATGTAGTGAAAGTACGTCTTCAGTCACGCGAATTAGCTGCTCGATACAATGGAACCTGGAATTGCCTTGTCACCATTGTAAAGCAGGAAAAGGTATCAGTATATCCCACTGAATGAAGAATGTTACTATCAACCGAGCTAAAATAGACTGCCAAATTATAGATTTTGGGACTCTATAAAGGAATGGTGAGCTAGTTTCCCTGTTTCGGGTATTCATAGAACAACATCATTGACACATGTCGAATAACCATGGCCTGCATCACAGACATCACCCGCCGTGAGTTTCAATGCTTTTAATCCAACCATCTATTTTTTTTTACCAAAGGATATTAAACTTTTTGCATAGGCTGGAGTAGCTGCCATCAATGCTTTAGTATTTGGTGTCTACGGACATTTTATTGAGTTACAGCAACGACACATGGTATTCCCTTCAAAAGACCAGACACAACCGTCTCTCACTAACGTCTTTATTGCTGGTGTAGCTGCAGGATCAGTTACTAGGTAATGTTTGGTTTGTGCCATGCAGTAAATCAAATAAGTGATGATGATTTAACCTTATCTTACCTACCCAGCTTCATCACCGGACCTATGGAGCTGGTCAAAATACAACTTCAAAATCAAACCCACACAACAACAAGCAAAGCGTCTCTCAGTGCCCCTCGATACACTGGACCTATTGATTGTTTTGTGAAAATATTCCAAAAAGGAGGCATTCGTGCTTGCTATGCTGGACTCACCCCTACTATGCTTAGAGAAATTAGTTTTGGCCCTTATTTCGTTACGTTCGAAGTCATTAGCCGACTCTTACGATCATTACAGCCTAATCCAAATGGCAAACTTTCCACCAATGAAGATGATTTGAGTGGGTGGCAAGTTGTTCTCGCTGGTGGCTCGGCTGGTATCATGGCCTGGTGTTCTACCTATGCTGCAGGTAAGACCTGTTCCCCCTTATCTCGTAGGAGGAGTCTAATTGCTTATCATTTCTCCTTCTCAGACGTTCTCAAGACGCGCATACAGTCAGAACCTTCACGTTATCGAGGAGTGATAGATTGCGCTCGCCAGTGCTATAAGGAAGAGGGATGGCGAATTTTTTTCAGAGGTCTCAATGCAACTATTGTACGAGCTTTCCCTTCAAATGCTGCTACCTTTGTCGCTTACACTTGGACCATGAAAATGTTGTCACCTGTGAATTTACAAGAAGAGGTTCGACCGCTATGCGAAAGCACCAGAGCAGCTTGCTAAGTTAGTTTACATGCAACGACCTGTTCGTTCACATATACCAACCACTGCAGAGGATAGCTTGAGGGATCCTTTGGGACGAGAGCTTCTTAATAATATCGTGTACTATTGCTTGTCAAGACAAAGAGTAACCATGTCTTTTTTTCTATTTTTTTTTATTTTGCTTTTGCTGTTCTTTCAATTAAATCACATTCTTGCTGTGTGCATGTACAGTCTTTGCCAGCCGTCCCTTTTTGTTTTTGGCAGGGTTATTTTTGTTTGATCCTTATGTTCACCTTGTGGTTTACTATCCCACTTCAGACAATCCTTCATCCGCTGTTTAAACTTTTCTTGTTATTTGACTACGTTTCTATCTCGATGGTTCATGCAAAGGATGAAGCTGAGTTACTAGCAGATAAAAATAACGATTCTAAGACTGGGCGGGTTTCATACCAATCAACAGCTAATGCAAATTTGTTACAGATACTACAGGAAAGTGGAGGGAGGAGAGTGATTGAAGTAATAGAGAAGCCTTCCTAGATTGAAGGGTTTAATTATAAGCGCAATTTTTTTTTTTTTTGGTGTCCGAGGGAATGAATCTATTTGCTGGCCGTGGTCTCGTCTTCCTTCAGCTTGTCTGCCCACACGTTCTCGGCTTGTTGAGGGTCGATGCCTTCGAAACAGATCTTGAACACATCGTCATAGTGGTCGACGGGAACGCCAGTCATACCTTCCTTGATGTGTTCGGGAAGGTCATCCCAGTCAGATTGGTTGTCCTTGGGGAACAAAACAGTGTTGACGTTGGATCGCTTGGCTGCAATGGTCTTCTCCTTAAGTCCGCCGATTTGCAACACCTTTCCAGTGACGGTGAGTTCACCAGTCATAGCGATGTTAGGATTAATAGGGCGGTTCAAGGCCAATGAAATGAGGGCAGTGGCCATGGTCACACCGGCACTAGGTCCATCCTTGGGTACAGCACCAGCCGGACAATGCAAATGAACTTGAGCCTTTTCAAAGAAAGCATTCTTGGGGAATTTGTTTGCTAAGAGAGACTTGGCAAACGTATAAGCAATAGTGCTTGACTCCTTCATGACATCACCAAGTTGTCCGGTCTTGGAAAGTTTAGGGGAGGACTTTGGAGTGAGAGGTGATTCAAGAACGGATTCAATATATAAAGATGAGCCGCCTGTTTAATGATGTCGCAAAATAATTGTTTAGAAAATGCGTGGCCATGATAATGTTTGAGCTGCAAGCAGCCGTCATTTAACTTACCAAGGCTGGTCCAAGCAAGACCCATGACAACACCTGGTGGTGTTTGGTCATATAGACGATCAGAGTGGAAGACTGGGGGTCCAACATAGTCTTTCAATGAGTCAGTGGTGATGTCAACTTGGATGGACTTGGGAATGTCAATAGGGTGACGTTCCTTGGACGTAATGTCTTCACCGGCTTCATGGACTTCCTTATGGGGATCCAAGCTCTCTTCGCCGGGCTTCTCATGAACATTTTCAGCGCCTTCCTCAACACTGAAAGCCTTTGCGGTATCACCGGGTTGCTGTTGAAGATGGTCCTCGCCAATGTCCTTGACGATCTTCAAAGCGGCCTTGCGATATACTTTATCAATCTGCTTCTTCAAGTTACGAACACCACTTTCACGGCAATAGTTCTTGATCAAGCTTTCAATGGCTTCCTTGGTCAAGTTGACATTGACATGCTCCAAACCAGCAGCTGTTTTGGCGGTGGGAGACAAGTACTTCTCGGCAATTGCGACCTTTTCATCCGCAACATAACCAGAGAGTTGAATCACTTCCATACGGTCAAGAAGTGGGCCGGGAATAGTATCCAAAACATTGGCAGTACAAACAAACAAAACCTTGGACAGATCAACAGGGACATCCATGTAATGATCCAAGAAGCTGGAGTTCTGTTCGGGATCCAGAAGTTCGAGAAGAGCAGAAGATGGATCACCTTGATGACCCTTTCCAATTTTATCTACCTCATCAATTAAAACCAGAGGATTTTCTGTTTGAACCTTCTTGAGTGCTTGAATCACTTTACCGGGCATGGCTCCAACATAGGTTCTTCGGTGACCCTTGATTTCAGCCACGTCGCTTAATCCACCGACAGAGAATCGATAGAATTGGCGATCCAAAGCTCTGGCGATACTCTTACCAATGGAAGTTTTACCGACACCAGGGGGACCGACCAAACACAAGATCTTGCCTTCGACAGTACCGCGCAGTTTACCAACAGCAATGAATTCCAAGATACGATCCTTTACGTCTTGAAGTCCATAGTGATCTTCATCCAAGACAGTGACGGCGTGCTTGATGTTGTAGTTTTCCTGTGATCGCTGACCCCATGGAATTTGCGTAAGCCAATCCAGGTAGTTTCGAGTCACGTTGAATTCTGATGCAGCTGGCTCAAGATGGGCGAGCTTGTTGATTTCCTACAACGAAAAGAAAGTCAGAAAAATAAATAAATTGAATTCCACCGCTTATCATCTCGTTCATTCCCAATTTACCTCGTCAAACACTTTCTTGACTGCCGCAGGCATGGCCAGTTTCTCGGCCTTTTCCTTGAAACCCTCTACAAGCTTATCTTTACCATCACTCTCGAGACCTAGCTCTTTCTTGATACCCTTGAGTTGTTCCATAAGATAATATTCCCGCTGGCGTTTGGCAATCTTGCTCTCGACTTCCTTTGAAATCTTGTTTTGCAATTGGGCGTTCATGAGCTCCTTCTTCAATACCAACAGAGCTTTCTGGAGACGTTCTTCAACAGAGAGACACTCCAAAACGTCCTGCAGTTCATTGGGTTCGCCAGCAGATACGGCAGCAGCAAAGTCGGCGAGCTTGGCCGGCTCTTCAAAAACATTGCCAGCGGATTGTGACATTGAAAAACTGGCAATTTGATCACGGAACAATGGGTTCAAGGAAGCGATATCCTTAAATACCGAAACAATTTCCGACGTGACAGCACGAATGACTTGGTCTTTCTTAGAATAAGGAACATCTTCCATGTTGTCAACGTTGACGAGTGAGACAGCGTAGTCCTTGGCTAAGAAAGACGTAGCATATTGTGCATGCTGTTCAGCGCTAGAAGTTGCAGCAGGGTCTTCGACAAAATCGGTCTTCTTGTTGACATCTGATTCAGGAGCTATCCACGTAGGTATCTTATGAGCAACACATCCATTTCTCAAAAAACAAAAACATTCTCTGCTTACCCTTGTCCTTCATGGTAGATTCCTTGCTACTGGCCTTTTGAGATTTTTTCTCCGACTTTGGGACTTCCACAGGCTCTGTCAGCGGACCCTCATCCTTGACCACCGCAGCGGTAACCCCAGATCCGGCTGACTCATCCTTGGCCATGTCATGGCCTTGGTTAGGCTTACCCATGGGCAACAAATCGGTAATTCTAATTCTACGGTGTGGGTAAAGTACGGCGGTTAAGCCAGCATCTTCCTTGGAACCCTCTTTCGAACCTGAGCTGGCAGGGAACACGCTGGTAATTTGTGCAAACACACCGACACGATGAACTTGATTAAGGTCGGTAATGGTATCGATATCCAGTTCCTCATCCTTCAACAAAAATGCTCCCACGTACGGCTGACCTCGCTTGAGAAGTTCTTTGATAGCCGCCGTGACTTGAGGGTCCTTGATGACGACAGCCTTGTAGAAACCAGGGAACAAAGGTCGACGTGTGATAGGAAGTGCAAGCACTTGCGGATAGACCTCGGGAACGGAAGGTTTTTGCAATTGGTTGTCAATGACATTAAGAGCCTTTTGAATATTGTGTACAGGAGAGCCGCCGTCGCCATCACCGCCCCCTTTTCCATCACCTCCATTCGCAGCACCGTTACCGTGGCCGTCGCCGCCACTGGAGGGAGGCTGGTCGGACCCATCGTTGTTGCTTTCGTTGGCACGCAATACCTCGGCGTTTGAGACTTTGGAGTGCTTAAAAGCTGCCGCAGAGGTGGAGGAGAAGGGTCGAATGGGTTGAAGGGCGACAAACACTGAACGCGAAGGGCTATTGCGTATAGACTGGGCAATGGCTTCACCACCCCACATGGTCAGACCGGATGCATGGTTCACTTGAGGCGTGGACGAAAATGATCGCGCAGGATTGGAAGCGCCAGTGATTTGATTCAGAAGCGATTGCTTTATGGAGGATCTTGGGATTGTCTTTGCGACATGCAGCAAGAATGACGAGCTCATGTCGCAGGTAAATGAACGATTGCGTAAGCAGCCCATAAGAACAATCGGGTTTTGTCAGTTTCCATAGGCTGGGTTAGGGTTATATTTCAGTCACACACCTTGCTCCTCCACTTTGAACGAATCACTTCCTTTTGAATCCACCATCTCATTAACCATGACTATGGATCAACAGAATCTTTTATCCGTTCAAGCAGACGCTTCAGCTTTGTTACAACCAACCAATGAGAACAACAAGCGCGCCTTCCAAACTGACGGCGAAGGTCAGGAACATAGTCACAACAAGAAACGGCCAATGACCTTCATAGCATCGTGGCAAAAGAAAACCTATACCATGTCTTGCACTCCAGAAGAGACGGTTGAGCAATTGAAATTGAAGTTGCAAGGCTTGACCAATGTACGGCCTCAAAATATGAAGCTGTTGAACCTTGTGAAAGGCAAATTGCCTGTGAGTGGATATTGAACTGGATGCGAAAGCTGGTTGTCAATTGGCTCTGCTCTGACCTTTACGTTTTAGTCCGATGATACCTGTTTAGAATCTCTCAGTCTTCGCCGTAAACCAGGCTCTAATGCCGTGGAATTTCTGATGCTGGGAACAGCTGTAAGTAGACATACTATCCCCACGGAAACTGGCTGTCGGCTAATACCTTCATGATAGGACGCCAATATCTTCAAAGACCCAGATCAAGTTGACACGTTGCCAGATGTTCTGAATGGTAAGTACTTGGAAGCGATTCGTCAGCATAGCTATTACTAATGTTAGTGTTCATGGCAATGACCAGATCTGGAATATGACTATTTCCCATCCGATCATCCTACGCACTTGGATCAGGCCAAAGTTCAAAAGAAGTTGAAAGAGACTACTGAAAAGGTCAGGCAGGATGGAAACTGACAGTTTTTTACGATACTGAATATTGACATCTTGTTTTTTTTTTTGCTCTTCAGACGACGATCCGGCTGATCAATCCGTTAAGAGAAGGTATGGGTGTATGGATAGAAGAATGTCAAAAATAAGCCGTTCACTCATATCTTTTGGAAACTACAATTTTAGGAAAGAAGCTTTTGGTCATGGATTTAGGTAAGCCTGCCTTCACGTTGAAACGGTGTATTCTCTGAAGAACACCTTGGTTTTTTTTTGACTGACGTGATTGCCGCAGACTATACCCTGTTCGATTGTAAGTCACCAGCTAGTCATATCTCTGAACTGATGCGGCCGGGTATGCACAGTTATCTTGTGAGTGTTTTCAAACAGTTTTTCTTGCGGCTAAAAGTCAAAGCTGCCACAATGCCTGATGGATTCATCCCTTCCTATAGACGTCGGCATACGAGCATTATGATATTGTTATTTGGAGTCAAACAAGGTAAGATTTTTGTCTCAGGCTCATAACACCCATTCTTTTCTTTTCTAAACCGATGTCTAGTTGGCGAACACTGGAAGCAAAGGTGACAGAGCTGGGCATTCTGGTAAGTACACACTGGATATCACGAGAAAGAAAGTTTGACAGTCCATCTAATCGCCTTGTCTGCTGCACAGTCTCATCCAGATTACAAAATAGCATTTGGTGAGTGCGGTTCTATCTACAAAAATTATAAGCATCGCGGTATTAATGAATGTATTTCTCCCAGTCATGGACATATCGACCATGATATCGGTTACAACATTGAAAGCAGACGGATCGGAATTCAAACATCAAGTCAAAGCGTTGGATATCATCTGGAGTAAATTCCCCCAGTTTTCTGCCAAAAACACCATCCACGTCGATGATTTGTCACGAAATTTTGCCTTGAATCCGAAATGTGGACTCAAGATATCTGCGTTCAAACACGCTCCAGTCAAACGGCTGACGGATAGGGAGCTCTATTACGTTGCGCGTTACTTGCTGTTGATAGTGAATGTGGACGACTTCACCATTTTGAACCACAAGGTAAAGTGTTGGGTCGTTGCTCTTGGTGGCCGCGATGTACTAAATCCACCTCTCTTGGCAGCGCTGGAGGAGCTATCCTGGTGTGCTAGAATGAGACAGCGTTGCCTCAACCGACATACACGTATTACATAAAATGGCCACCCTTTGGCTTCATCCCCTCGCTACACTTGTATTTCCAATTCTGTCATGTTCTCCCATTTGCTAATCCATCACACCACACCATACCGTTTCGTTGTTCATTTGTCCGAACACACACCCCATGTTTGATCCAGTCGAATGAAAAGGTGGTTTATTTACATTCGATCAATGAGAATAGCTGTGAAAATAAAAGAGTAAAAAACCCAGGATAAGATTTTGTACAATGGGTTTGTATGTAGAAAGAAAATAAGGAGAGATGTAGTACATGTGGTATAAACAGTAATCAGGACATGTTAGAAAAGTGTGAGCAGCCGAGTGGCATGCTTAATCTTTGAACGGGTTGGCGTCAGAGCGGGGATCATTATCAGCGTAAGGGTTAAACACCTTTGGTTCTTTGGCATGTTGTGCTGGGCGTTCGTAAGGGTTGAAAACACTGGCAGTGGATGTGGGCACGGGTGAGCGATCGCGAGGGAACTGAGTTCTGGGGGGCATACTCAAAACATCGTGTTGCGCATGGGGAGTGTAAGCTTCTTCAAACTCAAACGCAGGTTGACCTCTTTGGATTTGCTGTTGTGGTGGTGCCGAAGGAGGAGGTGGAAGAGCATGTGCTGCATTTTCGTCGTCGAACGGAGATGTAGCGACAGCACTGTAGCGGCCGTGCGTCGGAGAAGGTGAGGATCCAGTATGGGGGTAGGGCGAAGCAGGGTAGGCGTGTTGCTGTGGAGGGCTTTTGAACGGATTATCAATAGCACCCAATTCGCGAAGTCTAGTTCCTGATTTTCCTTCTTCCTCAAACACCTTTGACTCTTGGTGCACACGCGGCATGGGGGGCAAGTCTTCCAAACTCACATCGGCCATGGGATCTTCGTAATAGGAGTAGTCGCGCTCTTCGTCCTTGGTATGAAAGTCTTTATTCAATGCCATGGAGCTTTCATCCCCCGCCATCTTCCGTCTTAACTTGAGTTCTTGTCGTTTCTTCGCTAGTCGTACAGTGCTTTGACCACATGTCATCAAACTGAGAATGAACTGTGGAATGAAGGCCAAGAAAGCGTCTACAAACGCCATGAAGAAGTTCAAATGCTCGTCCTTGTGATCAAAATAGTCCTCTTCATCCATTCCGTAGTATTTCATCATCAACACGGCGTCGATGGCCATCACAAAGCAGACAATGATAGCTTCGTAACCGTTTTTAATCGCAGCGGCTGGCCAATACGTACCTCCATTGGCAGGAGGAACGTCCTTGATAACATGGAAGGTAGTCAAGGCAGAAAGCAAAATGGTACCGAAGTAGAAGATGATCATGATCGGTCCTTTGACGCACCAGAACAAACCGTGGGCCTGGATGGCTCCTAATTTCCATTCGTTATGGTATACTGCGAGGTAAGTGAACAGCGCACCCAAAATCAAGGAAAGGCAAAAGAAATTGATGACGGTCAACCAGACATAGGCTCCTTTAGGACTAAAGGAATTGGGGCAATAGTAGCCATGGAGTTCGGTCATAATGGATATGAAGGCCGAGATGATATTCCTAAGCACAGGTAGTAGTCAGAATGACATTCGATTGACCAACAAGTTCGACGCAGACACTCACCATATTGGAAACTGAAAGACGCATATGTCCATAATGGTTGAAAAATGGAGACCCCATTTGGATTGGCTGTTCAAAGAGGTTTAAAATGAGTGACCATGAAAAAAAAAAAACCGAAACAAGCGGAGCACTAAAACCGTACACAGTAATTGTTTTAAGACCAAGCACCTTGGTTGTCACCGCCTGCTTGGGCATGGAAGCGTTCTGGAGTCGATAGGGTTCCAAGTAAGCTTTGAGCAGTGCATACAGGTTGTAAACGGCAAACGATTCGAACAAGACGGCAAAGAACATGATGGTGGTGGACGCTCCATATTTGAGATACGACACCCTGAATAACAAGCAGGTACAAAATTAATGGCAAGGAGAGGAGCACAAGAAATTTTTCGAGAAAACTTGCCATGCCAACGTCGAATAAACTGCTGGATACGCTAATACTCGAACTTTATGCCGTTGAATACTCTTATTGTTGTAATGGGTCAGGTGGACCATGATGGTGTGCACAGCCAGGATCCAAGTGATAACCACCAGCAATCCTGATCCTAACCACCCCCAGATATGCATGTTGGATCTAAAGTAAGTAGATCAGTCAGTAGGTGGAATGGAGTTGTCATGAGGGTAAAGCTTGGCGGGAACAGAGAAAACAAGACTTACGAAGGATCGAGAATCAACTCATTTAAACTAAAGGATGGGTTGCTAAAATGAAATGCTTTAGTACTATGTTTCTGTTCGAGCGGCAGGGTTCAAACGTACAATCCATCGTCTGCGAGACCTCCCTCAGTCGGGCATGTCACATTGGCTTCCATGATGCTCTAGCAAGAAAAGTGCGAGAGTGCCGAAGTTAGCCTGAGCCACATTTTCAGGAACCGCAATGTGTAGCGCCTTTTTAAACTTTTTCTTTTAATTTTTTTTATAGGCAATTCTGTTACCAGGTAACTTCTAAATTATTCAATAAATCGAACAGGAATCTTAAAGAATTGTCCTGCTTCTTTATCACATTCGCCCTTCCTTCTTTCAGCAGCAGGAAGATCTCCTCCCCGAAGATTGGTCTACAAGAATGAATTAGTCGAAGCGGCGGAGAAGTCGGAGCGCGTGTTACGAGCATGGGCTCTCTTACCTGTAAAGAAGGGTGCAGGTACCTCGGGGCCTTAAGCTGATCGTCTCGAAGTTTTCTTGCCTTGATGTAATCTTCAAGACTCACCCTTTCATTTATCATCTTGTTGTTGCGCTTATGTGCCTCCAAGAACGTCACGAACGAATACTGCCAAAATCATCAGTCACGACTCCCAAAAATAGACTTCCTGAGCCCCCCCCCACTGCCTCGTCTTACCGGTCGTTCACTGGGATAATCATGACCAACAAACACTCTTGTATCGTCCAACAACGTATCGTATATCTTGTGAATACTCTGATACATCTGCTCGGCGCTTCCACCAGGGAAATCGCATCGTGCCGTACCAATATCGGGCTAACAAAAAAAGTGGAGTTTAATGAGGGCTGCTAAATTTTCCAGAAATTCTTAATGCCAAGAGTGCTTTTATCGGTCCGCATAACTCACCATGAACAAAGTATCACCCGCAAAGAGCGCGTCGCCTATTAACCAGCTCATGCATGCTGGTGTATGACCTGGCGTAGCAATGGCCTTACAACGGATATCATTTCCTAGGGTCCATTCTGTTGCATCGCCTATCAGTTGAGAAAATTGCTCTCCAGTGGTAGGTAGATCTCTTGGTTCAAAATTATACTTGTCACGAAATACTGACTGCACCTTGGTGACGTTATGACCAATCAGCAAGGGTGGCTGTGCCAAGGCAAAAGGCTCTGGTCAATAGCGTAGAGGAACAACCCCAGCTGCAGACAAGCTTACCTTGTTGGTCAAATGCTGGTGAAGATACTTTCCTGCTGAAAGATGATCCTAAACCAAATGGGTTAGGCGAAGGGAAACACGACGGGTGCAAAAATGGGTAAAAGTCACTTTACAGCATGCACATGGGTGTCAATAATTTTCGTGACATTTAAATGGTATTTTTGAACAAATTCAATTAATTGTTTGGCCGTGTCTGCCTTGACCGTGCCGGAAAATGGATCATAGTCAAGGACAGGGTCAATCAAAATGGTTTCGCGAGTGTCTACGAATGTTCACCAAAGGGATTAAAACAGGATGATGTGAGTACTCAGTGTATGCTTCTTACCTTCATCCGTCACAATGTACTGAGCTGTATCGGTGGCATTGTCGAGGATAGTGTGGACGGTAGGGGAATGGTTTTTTTTAAATGGTTGAAGGGGATACTCTGCTTTCCAAGCGGTCAAGCCTCCTTCTAAATTATAGACGTTGGTAAAGCCTGCCTCAAGCGCTTTGGTGGCTGCCATATGACTTCGGCGACCTGAAGCACATTGAAACACAAGCTGGTCCGCCCATGTTAGTAACGAAACCCCAGCGAAGACGCATTGTTCTAACCTAGTTGTACCTTTCTGTCTTTGGGAAAATCAGCCAACAAACGATGAGGATCTTCGATCAAGTGCGGTAAAGGGATATTAACAGAATACTTGATTTTGCCCGAGTCTTCGATTTCTTGTCTATTTCGAACTTCTATCACTGTGACGGACTTGCAAAATGCGTCGTGCTCAATTTGCTGGTCGAGCTGCTCTTTCAACTGCGAGCATGTAATGGGCATGACCGAGTAGTTGACTCTGCTATGCACCATTCGTAACATGCCTGGTTTATGCCGGGTAAGGCACGCTGACCACATGCTTTTCATGGTGGGAGAATGACAAGGGAATGGCAAACAGCGAGGTTTTACATTTTCTCAGTGAGCTCAAATGTTGGACTGCTTTTGCCTGCGTGAGTCAACACTCGGGGACCATGAATGCCCGACGCTACGCCATTTCTTTTAATAATAAACGCTGCGAGTTCTATGAGTGGGGATGTCTACAGTGCCTTGGATCTCTTTGGCATAATCCCAAATGTAAAAATCTAGTAAAATAGCATTCACTTTCATATCGGAATTTTGCTCGTCTATCATATGCTGGATACGTTGTCGGAGCAATTCCACAGCCCAGATGGAGTTTCCCCGGATTTCCACCTCTTCACTGCAACCGGAAGGAAAGTTTTGATGGTCTCTGAGTTTTTGAATGAGGTCTTTGGAATACTCCAGGCAGCCTAGATGATACAATGCCTATGTACAGGGTCAGTCAGCACAACGTAAAATAAATGTGGCGTGATATTCTCCAACCCACCTGTGGCACTCTGCAGATTCCGCCAAACAGCAGTAGGGGTAAATGAAATGATCGCATACCCTTTACAATAGTGTGTATTTCGTTTACCTGTAATCTGCAAACATGGTTATTTGATCGATATCCTCGAAATACCCCAGCCCTTGACCGTCGAAGCAAGCCCTGTAAATTCATGTATGTATGGCTGAGTCACAGTCGTGAATGCAGTTTGGCTTAAGACACAACCTACCAAATGTCCGCTATGAGAATCTGCGCTCGCTTAAATATTTGCACTAAAGTCCATGGTTAGAATGGCCTGTAGGTCAACGAGAAATCGAGAGCAGGTTTGGAAACATTACCTTTTCGAAGATGGAAGGTGTGTTCGTCGTTGAAAGATTTAAAATGTCGGGTAATAATTTGTAATAATTTCATGGCCGAGCCATTGGCTTCCTTGATGCAATTGATAAAAGTGCCATCATAGTACTGGTTTCATCCGGAATCATTAGCCAACGCATGAAGTATATCATCCCTTGAATGACGCTCACCTTCAACAAGGCACCACCATCTTCTCTCATAACCCTAATCCTCTCCTTGACCATAGGCATTTGCTCTTCCGTATCCGATCGAAACACATGCAACAGCACATCGTCTGAAGCGTCCTTTGCCCACCATTGTGGCTTAAGAATGGGGTATCCTTCCTGACACGCTAAACACCAATGCGGTCAGAGGTGGGTTCTGTATGAAAGAAAATAGCCAATAGATGCAGTATCAAAGATTTACCTCGATTGATGCAAGCGCATAATGCCCAGTAGCCAGTGTACTTGACGCCTTGGTACTCTACGGCATATCGAGCGGGATTTGGCACGGACTTGTCGTCAGGGTCACGCTCACTCCAGAACGAGAAATTCAGCAGATCAACCAGGAAAATCCTATCCACCGTGCAAAATTTAGAAGGAAGTCAGCAGAAGGCTCGTCGAGACATACTTGATAAAATCCCCATTTTCCCTACCAGTTAATGGCGCTTTCGTTGGCAACTTTAGGGTTAAGTGGGTGCATCTTCCATGTTTTCGTACTGTACTCGCGTGTCTTCATATTTTCAAAAACCTAGTAGTAGAAGGGTTGTTTAGAGTGGAAGAAAGAGATTCAAGGTGATCTGTCAACGCACGCACGTACCACTTTGGCGGCTGACTCGATGCCTGACGAAGGAATGAAGACATGCTGTGAATTCTGTTAAAGGGAGGGAAGGTATCAGCCTCTCTGCGTGAGAATTGGACTTTGCATGCGGGAAATTGCTGCTACCTCGTGAATGAAATCTGCGCTTGTCAAGACTTGACCGAGATCCTGGTTGTGCATTGTGAATTGCCGATTAAGCTTCCCTAATTTTTTTTTTTTTTTAGATTTTTTATTTTTTTTGACAGATGCTGCCTGAAAAGGAAGGCCAGTCCTTCTGCAACGGCCAACCAGAGAAAATTCATGCGCTTCAACTACTTTGGCTCGCATTCCTTTGTACAGATTTTTCTTCCATGTTATAAAGCAAATGGCTCTTCCGCAGGTCAAGATGAAAGATGTACGCGTTTACTTTATTCCTAACCCAAGGATGGTTTTTAAAAAATTGAGTATATTTTTAACCTCAAGAAACATGGCCCCTTTTTGTTTATTTGGTATTCATATTATGAAACCTAGTCTGTTTAATTCACTACCAAGTACAAAAAATCCTTTTGCAATCAAAAGGAAAGCATTGTAAGGAAAGCACGGTTTGGCCACCCATCCCCTGGTGCCATAAACCATATCTCAACCGCCTGCTACTGCTTTGAAAAATATACCTTTTATCCTGTTCGTAATGGTAGGGATGAAAATAGCCAGGTTATCGTGAACACTTGATTGGCGTAAAGCTGTGATTTGTTCAAAAATACGGGGACGAACCATCTTGCGGCATTCAAACTTTGTTCCATAGCGTTATACCATACAGGGACAACAGCTCGAGTTTTCCAATCATATCAAAGAAATACCAAGATGAAACACTGTCTCTGATCATCCACAGTGTGTCTCCAGCCACACAAGCTACGTCCAAGAGGTGCACAGGACTGGATCAGGCATCCACAACAGAGGTTCAGCGGAAAGGACCTTCCATTTTAGAAAATGTGGGTCAGGCTCAGCTAACGTCGATAAATAAATTCATGCTGTCGAGTCAGTGAAATGACAGACGTCTCCTTGCTTTTGAATGTACTTACGCATTCGAAGAAGGGTCGAGCCATGAAGAAGTCGATGGCTATAAGCGCAGTGAGAGATCAAAGCTAGCTAGCTGACTGGCTTGGCAAGGCAAGGAAAAGGAACGGTATCGGAACACAGCCTCACCCATTTATACTGTGGCTTTTGTACCACAGCCAACCGCACTTCTCTATAAAAAAATCTCGTTGGGCTTTTTTATTTTCTTCTCCTTGCGCCTCACTCTTTTTGCAGGTACGTCTTCCTGCTCCAACCCACCTCTTTAACCCACGTTCTAACCTTCTATCCTTTCAGATTCGTCTACAAAATGTATCCTGCTCCTCATGGTACTTCCCAAGGGGAATACGACCAGTATCCTATGCAAGATACCACATTCTTGTCACAACCCGTCAACAGGGGCGGTCATCCTGGCTACCAACACGCAGACCCGTTTGATGATCATAACGCAGGTTATTCAGAATCCATGAACGAACCTTTGCTCAACAGTCCAGCTCCATCCCCTTCACCCAGTGGCTACCCTGACAATAACAGCGGTATCAAATTTGCCCCACCTGCTTCCCCTGGGCCGTATTTTGGCGAAGCCCCACGCCGACAACCCAGACGATACAAGACAAGTACGTTGAAACGCTCACGTTCATACGAGCTTGTTCCTGTTATTTTTGGCCGTTCATCCTGACCTTCTTTTTTTACTTTTTCCAGCGCGAAGAGTTCAGCTGACGGGGGGTAATTTGGTGTTGGATTGTCCGGTGCCTAACAAATACCTTGACGCTGTTCCTAAACGTGATGCACATGAATTTACCCACATGCGTTATACCGCTGCTACTTGTGATCCATCTGAATTTGTATCACAAGGTTATACCCTACGTCAAGCTCTCGGGGGCAGACAGACCGAACTCTTCATTGTCATGGTAAGGAACAGACACAGGGAACCGTGTTGAAAAGGCTGTTGGTTACTCATTCACATCAAATCAAATTCAAACTATGCACCTACCCAATATCAATTTTTTCAAATGCAGACCATGTACAACGTAAGTAAAAAATAATGTTTCCTGTCCAAGTGAACAATGTATACGCTAACCTTTGTCTTCTTCTCAACAGGAAGATGAAGTGTTGTTTGCTCGTACAATGAATGGTGTCATGAAGAACATCTCTCATTTGTGTACTCGTGATCGATCGCGTACTTGGGGTGTTCAAGGATGGGAAAAGGTCACTGTATGCATTGTATCGGACGGTCGTTCAAAGATTCATCCCCGCACGCTCTCCGTCCTGGCTGCTATGGGAGTTTATCAAGATGGTGTTGCCAAGAACGTGGTCAACAACAAGCCTGTTACAGCCCATTTGTACGAAGTAAGTATCTCACTTTGCCTGATGGGTTGCCTAGAGTCCCTACCCTGACTTTTTGGCTTTTTCAGTTCACAACTCAAATCTCAGTCGACCCGGATATGAAATTCCGCGGTGCCGATAAGGACGTTGTACCATGTCAAATCTTGTTCTGTCTGAAAGAAAAGAACGCCAAGAAAATCAACTCGCACAGATGGTTCTTCCAGGCTTTCGGTCCTGTCATTAACCCCAACGTATGCGTCTTGCTTGATGTTGGTACTCGACCAGGTGGTACCTCCATTTACCACTTGTGGAAAGCCTTCGACATTAACTCCAATGTGGCCGGTGCTTGTGGTGAAATTCGTGCCATGGCGGGTAAAGTCGGTGTGAATCTTTTGAACCCTCTGGTCGCCACTCAAAACTTTGAATACAAAATGTCTAATATTCTCGACAAACCCTTGGAGTCGGTGTTTGGTTATATCTCTGTCTTGCCCGGTGCTTTCTCTGCTTACCGATACAAGGCTCTTCAAAACGATGTCAATGGCCATGGTCCACTTGAAAAGTACTTCTTGGGTGAAACCCAACACGGTGGTGATGCGGATATCTTCACTGCCAATATGTACTTGGCTGAAGATCGTATCTTGTGTTACGAGTTGGTGGCCAAGAAGGATGCTCACTGGATTCTTCATTACGTTTCCAGCGCTTATGGTGAAACCGATGTGCCTGACAGTGTTCCTGAATTCATTTCTCAACGTCGTCGATGGCTTAACGGTTCTTTCTTCGCTGGTATCTATGCTTTGGTCCATTGGCGAAAAATTTGGGGTTCCGACCACTCCTTCCTCCGCAAGATGGCTTTGATGATCTTGGATCTTTACCAAACGTTTAATTTGATCTTTTCATGGTTTGCCATTGTAAGTTATGAGGAAAATAGGGCGGGGCAAAAGCACGCTTTGTCATATGGTTATGATCCATCAAACTCACCACTTTCTTTCTATTTTTAGGGAAACTTTTACTTGACCTTCTTCATTCTTACAAATGCCCTCGACTCTGATACCCTGACCCCCAAACCATTCCCTGCCAACGTCGCTTTTGTCATTCACTCGGTTCTCAATTATATATACGTTGTTCTTATTGTTATTCAGGTGAGCACTACCCCCCCTTTTTTTTGGTTGTTGGCCCGCACATATACTCATCCTGCAACCTATCTAGTTTATTCTCGCTATGGGTAATCGACCCCAAGGTTCCAAATGGGCCTATATCATCAGTATATGCTTCTTTGCCTTCCTTATGGCATACATGGTAAGCACTCTGTTCCTTATATCTTTGACCCTCCCATCTCTGTACTCATCCACTTTATTAGTTGTTTGCTACCATTTGGATCACTGTGGTAGGCGTCCAGGCAGCCATTGCAAACTCTGCAGGATCACAAAACATGTTCTTTGCTTTGATTGAACAATCATCGTTCCGAAATGTCATTGTGGCTGTTTGCTCTACCTATGTCCTCTACTTCCTTGCCAGTTTCATGTTCTTTGATCCCTGGCACATGTTCACCAGTTTCATCCAGTACACCTTCATGGCCCCCAGTTTCATCAACATCTTGAACGTTTATGCTTTCTGTAATACCCACGATGTCAGTTGGGGTACCAAGGGTGACAACACCATTGCCACGGATCTCGGTGTGGTCAAGTCTAAGAAGGATGCGTCTGGCGAGCATACGGTTGAAGTAGCGGTTCCCACCGAGCAAAAGGATTTGAACGCCCTGTATGAAGAAGCATGTCTTGATCTGACCAAGAAGGCAGCACCGGTTGTACAGCACCGTGATGCCAAAACAAAGCAAGAAGATTATTACAAGGCTTTCCGTACCAAGCTTGTCATCTCTTGGATTGTGTCCAACTTGGCTTTGGTAGCTGTCATCACCAACGCGCAATTGTTGCATTGGTTTGGTGACTTTGAAGAGCGTAGTACCGGATACCTTGGTTTCATTCTGTGGTCTGTCGCTGGTTTAGCTGCATTCCGCTTCGTTGGAACATGCTTGTACCTTGTGTTCAAGATCTTCACTGGGTAAATGATCCCCGCCCTCCCGCCTATTCATTTTACACGTCTGCATGCCTTCATTTGAAACAATCAAAAAATATTCCCCCACACCTGTATCAGTTTTGACTCTTTGAAAATACCAAAAAAAAAGAACAAGCAATGATATTCTGTACTAAGCCTGATATCACTTTTTTCTATAACTTTTGACAATCTGCGTCCTGTTTTCCTCTAAACCTGTATAAACGCTTATTACCCAACCGTCCATTCCGTGACTTGACTCATTTTGAAATACAACGATAGATACTGTAGTGTATCCATACACTTTTTATTAATTGGAACCATCCGAGAAGAGCGCTTGCCTTGACATGTGGCCACTACGTCTGTTTCGCTATGACGGCTATCATTGCCTGTTGAGTGGCGAGTGTTGATCAGCAGCCACCCAAGCATCGAGCATAATTTCAAAGAAAGCAGTGGGATCAATGTCCACGGCCATATGAACGTTTGCAGGCAAAATGGATTTTTGATACACATCACAGATCTAGAATACGGCAGAGTTGGAGTGAGTTTTCTTTTGGCTGCCTGTGACACGCCCTGCGCAAGTACTTACCGTTTGGCCAAGAGCCAGGCCATGGTCAGTGACCACATCCACACGAAGGTGACGAATAGTGAATATCTCGGGAGCAACGAGGATGGCAACGGCACACGGGTCATGAAGGGGCGGACCATTGTAAAGATGAAAGACTCTCTCGTAGGTGTGCTTGAAGAACAACAAAAGATCCACTATCAATTTTGCAAACTTGGAGTCGGGCATACATCTCTTTTCAATGGCTTCCAGCACTTTATCAGTGACAGCCGCTTTATGTGTGACATCCAAAGGCACCATATACACAGGTAAGCCGCTTTCGAAAATAATATGGCATGCCTCTGGATCGACCTGGACGACAAGGTGAGCATTCATTGAATCGGCCAATAGGACAAAACGCTCTACATTACCAGCACATTGAACTCAGCGACTGGCGTGCGATTGCCACTGTAAATTCCGCCCCCCATCAGTGAAATTTTCTCGATCTTGGACTTGAGTTCAGGGAATAAGGTGAGTAAGAGAGCAACATTGGTATAAGGGCCAACGGCGACGATGGTCACTTTGCTAGGGTGGTCGCGCAGGACTTGAGCCATATGCAACACGGCCTTTTCGTTCTTCACTATACAGTCTTCATCGGGTTCAGGGAGCAGGTCTGTTCCATCTAGACCTGATACACCGTGGATTTCTGGAGCCACCATGGAAGGTTTGACCAGCGGCTGTTTGTCATGTTAGAAGCGAAACGAAGCTCACTATGAACAGCCCCATAATGACTCTCACCAATGCCTGACCAGGTATTATTTTTGTCTTGATGCCAGCAGCTTTAACTACACGTGCACAATTAAGCGTGGTCTTGTCCAGCGTTTGATTGCCATGCGTCTATACTCAATGCCGAGCGGGGTTAGAATTCTACGCCTAATGGCAGAATTTCCCAGGACTAGGCTTACCGTAGAGATGCCTAGTAGCTGAATGGTGGGATGGTAAGCTGAATGAGAGGAGAGGATGAATTTGAGTTTTGAGGGGGTACACAACGGGCTGGCTATCAAAGGGTTCAATCACCTGCGAGGATAATGGCCATGGCATCATCGTGACCTAGATATCACAAAGGGTTTGGTTTGTCAGTGGCGCACAATGGAGCTGGCTGGCGGCCTCTACGATAGATTTACCTGGATCGCAGTCCAACCAAACGGGAATAGACGCATCCGAAACGGTCATTGTTCAAAAGTAACAAATAAAGCAAAAACTGGTACAAGGAAGAAGTGCGACTCCAAGATCGGAATCAATAAAGTTTTTACTAGGTATCACCACTGGAGCATGAAGGAGAGCAGTGTCGAATATTCTTAATGGTACAGCAAACGATGACATGTTGACTATTCTCTAGACTACACAGCCTAACTAACTTGTGTTTTTTTATTCCACGTCATACTACGCTATAAAATATGATTCAAGCATTGGCAGACCGTGCACCCCAATGCAGCCAAAAGACCTTATTTAAGATGGATTGGGCGATCTCTTGGAGCAAGCAATAGGTTTGCAAGCTGTTCGAATAGGAAAAAATATGCAAGCTGTGACAAGGTGAGAAGGTCAAAAAAAGGGAAAGAATAATGATACTGTCATGGTCCGAATTTCCTGTGATTAAGCGATGACGGAAGTGTGTCGCAAACCGGTAGTCTCCCTCTCAGCTAAAGCAACAGGCTGGCTGGCTGCTCACAAAGAAGACATTCTGGGCTGGGCCGTTTCTCTCTTTCTTTTCTTTTTCCTCTCTGCTGTTGTTTATACTTCTTTTTGTTTCTGTACTTTAACTCCCACCACCTTAATACGTACGAATTTGAGAAATCGACTCTGACAACCTCGCTGTAATATAGTACAAACCAAAAACACTTTTTGTTGCCCACCATGTCGGATTCTCCACCCACCGTAAACTCAACGCCTCCTCCAGTGGTGGAACCCACCGCAGCACCACCGTCCGACTCTCCAAAGCCTAATCCTCCACTTGCCTCGGGTATTCAACAAAAACCGAAGAATTTGGAAAATGCTATGTGGGTAGGCAACCTCCCAACCGATACCACACCTGAAGAGCTTCGTGATTTCTTCTACGATGAGGACTTTTTGGTAAGCCAAGCAAAGCGAAGCGAAGCGAAGAGAAAAGAAAGATAGAAACATAACAATACGCCATCGCTGCTATCCACACACAACTCAACCCCTTTTCCCCCCCCTTTTTATTTATAGACGGTATTTCATATTTCGAAAACTCACTGCGCCTTTGTCAACTACAAATCGTATGAAGCGGTATTAAGAGCTGTCAAAAAACATCATGAAGCAGGCAAGTCGACTTTGCATGAAATCACTGGCGGGTAGGATCCAAAAATTTCTAATGTCTCTCAATATCCCGGCCGGGAAAATTTTGTCTTTTCAACAGAGTTCCATGGTATCAAACTTGTGTGTCGTCCACGCAAGGTGAGTGGCCCTGTTACAAGCTCGGTAAGCTTTGGGCATCGACTGATGAACCCTTTTGTTCAGCAAAACCACCTCACGGCTCGAGGGATGGTGGCTTCGCCAAGACATCTTCACACTTCGCAGACGTCTTCGTCCGATGCTATGCCCATGTTGCCTCCACCCATGATGTATTTGCCACAAGGCGGCGTCACGGGCTCCATGCGGTTTAATCAATATCCAGGCGATCCGCGATTCCATACCCTATCGACCATGCCACCTACCAGCATACCTCAACAAGTCCCCAGCCCTGGCACGCCAGCCGATTATCGACCTCGCCGGACCTCACAATTGAGTCGTTCGTCACGGGATTCCAGCCCTCGCTCGGCTCAACCACCACCTTCTCCTCAAGAACGGCATCCGTCCATTGATTCCAACGCCAGTAATCCCAGCGTACGATACTTTATTCTCAAGAGTTTAACCGCCGATGATCTGGATATCAGTGTGGAACGAGGTGTATGGGCCACCCAACCCCATAATGAAGCTAGTTTGAACCGTGCTTTCAAAACCTCATCGGCTGTGTATCTGATCTTTAGCGCCAACAAGAGTGGGGAGTTTTATGGATACGCTCGTATGCTTCAGCCCATTGTGTCCAACCCTCCTTCATCGCCTTCTACCCAAGTTCAATGGACGCCGGTAGCAATAGAAGAGGATGAAGAGGAAGGTGGCGCTCCAGACCATGTTAATCCCCCACCGGAGCCAGTGGAAGAGGATGCTGGCAATGAAAAGCGATGGGGCAATGCGTTCAAAGTGCAGTGGATCAAAGTGTAAGTCAAGGGCTGTGACGAACAATGTACGTACGTTTATTGTGATGACTAACCACGGTATCTTCTCAGGCAACGACTTCCATTCAGCCAAACTCGCCATCTTCGGAACAGTTGGAATAATAATCGAGAAGTCAAGGTGTCAAGGGATGGCACAGAGTTGGAAACAGCCGTGGGGGAAATGTTATTGCAAGGATTCCATTGGGCTGAACAGCAACAATTGTATCAACAGCAACCACCACCACCACAGGCTCCTCCACCGCCTTCCTACCAACCCATGATGTATAATAATGAAATGCCACAACAGTCGCAGCAAATGATGATGGGATATATCCAGACCCCGCATGGTCTGCAGCTTGTGCCCATTCCATTTGTCGGTCTCGGTATGCCGCCTACCCCCTACCCTTACATGTTCTCGACCCAAGACGATGCCTAGTGATACCAAGGTGGTGTTGCTCAATAGGACCCTTCGATTTTATTCAAATCTCGCCGGTCAAAAGCAACAGACTCAACCAAAGAAAAAAAAAATGATCAACTTGGAACCAATGCTTTCTTTCTTTCTTTCTTTCTATGCCTTTTCCCCCTTTCTTTTGCATGCCGTTTTGAAGATCCCTCTCTCTTTTATCCCATTGTACATAACAAGAGCTTTTCTGGAGATAACCAAAATTCCCTTTCGCGCAACCCTGCAATAAACGCCTAACGAAAAAAAAAAAAGAGACTGTATGTACACTGATGTGATGTATTAAATAGATAGACATGGAGGGTATACATAGATGTTGGAGGGATGACTACTTTTTCTACGTTTGACGGCTTCACTTGATCTTGTTCAGCTTCTTATTGGCAAACTTGAGTTTGACTTGGGTGCGGTCAAGATCACTGTCCAGTTCCTCCAGCAATTGGTTCTGGTTCTCGAGTTCCTGTCCAATGGCATATCCAACTTGACGTTGACGGTTGAGAATGGAACTGAACTGTTCGACCTGAGAGTCTTGGTCATCCATCATCTGCTGTTGCAACTTCAATAACCCTTCATTGTCGACACCGCGGGTTTGTTCTGTCTCTCGGCCTTGCTGTCGTCGAGCATTGCCAAACACTCGATTGCTGACAATGGCGGGCTGGCCGTTGGTGTTGCCTGGATCACGAGCTTGCGGGTCGGCGGTGGATTTGAGTAAGGCACGACGATCTCCGGCCTTGGCGGGCTTAGCATCGGATGGCATCATGACGTCGCTTCGAGCGGCACTGGCCAAACGAGCCAGGGTATCTCGTTCATCCTTGAGACCGCTCAACAGATCTTGACGTCGACGCAATTCACCTTCGGTCATCAAACTTTCGCCTGAAGAACCATGGGCCAGACCGGTCAGACCGGAATCCAAATCAGACAGGCGAGACGACAGCACGGTCAGGAGTTTCTTCGCTTGCATGGTGCAGTTATGGGACGCTGAGATTTCGTTTCGAGCAATATGGGTTTCTCGCTTATTGATCAACGATCGCACCTCACGAGCACTGGTCTGCATTTCACGGAACTCATCTAACCAGCTTTCCGAAGTGTACATGGACGACGCGTCCAGTGGGCGGCCGGTGGGGATGGAAAGAAACTCCCGCCACACATCGGTTTGCCGCCAACGGTCGTCTCGACTGGACATGATGCCCCGGAGATAAGCATCCAGCCCCCTTCGTCTTTCCTCGATTTTATCCGGGTTGCCGTACGTACTCGTGAACCAGTGCTTGGGCGGCAAGCTATTGGGTGGAGGATGCTTAGGGAACTGAGCGATCAGTTGGCTATGGAACTTTTCAAACTCGGAGAATCGCTTCCAGATCGACCACGACCGTACAGCGGCGTGGATCTCTATACGGTAGACGGTATGCGGCTTGGGTTTCTCTCGATTTTCTGAATTACGAACGTAGATTGCTTGGATGTTTTCTGACATGGAATGGAAAAAGACGGAGACATCTCACCATGAAACCCGCAGGTAAAAGGATGATGATGCTGATCACGTGGAAGTCCAACCCATCTGTCATGGGCTGATCACCCGCTACAGCTAAAGGAATGCTATCGAGAGCACCTTCCTCTGCACTATAGTATTTCTTTAACTCGTCCAGCCTTCTACTTGAAAAGCTAGCCAGCGATACTATAGTTTTCCCTCGGACTATGGTGGAAGAGAAGGAGTTACATGTCATAGTGATAACTACACTGAGCCAAGTTGATTGTATGCGAGCTGCTAGACGTTTCATGGAGACTATTCGCTTCTCTACCTTCACTTTCTCTACCTTCACTTAATTCCTACTTTTTGCTGTCGCTTCTCTCATTCCACTTCACCCGCACGTTTCATTCAAACATCCTGACTAGTTAAAAAAGAAACAGCGGTAATAGACCCTCTCTACCCAATACATGTCATCTTATAGCATGGCATCCTCCACAACATGTTTGATTACGGGCTTCTTTTTAATGTGTTTTTTCAAAGAAAGGCGGCATTGATGTGTATTTTGCCAGAAGGGAAATTTTTTGCTATTGGGAATTCATTTTGTACTGTACACCAACCAGTCTAATCAAAGGCCATGTCCTTCTTAATCTGGGCAATGGCTCTACCAGGGTTGAGACCCTTGGGACAAGTCTTTGCGCAGTTCATGATGGTGTGGCAACGGTAGATAGAGTACTTGTCCTGAAGCTTATCACGACGTTCTCTGCCGAATTGATCACGCGAGTCAGCCATCCAGCGGTAAGCTTGCATGAGCACAGCAGGGCCAAGGTACTCGTCTTGGTTCCACCAGTACGATGGGCAGGAGGTAGAGCAGCAAGCACACAAGATACATTCGTACAATCCATCCAATTTCTTACGGTCCTCAATGGACTGCAAGTTCTCTTTCCCTTCTGGTGGGCCAGTCTTTTGCTTGAGGTAAGGCTCAATGCTCTTGTACTGCTTATAGAAGTTGGTCAAGTCAGGAACGAGATCCTTGACGATGTGCACTAGAAACCAAATGGGTCAATAAAACGTTCCGGCCCAACAACCTTGCTTGCGCTAACTTACTGTTGGGAAGAGGGTAGATCTTGACCGGCTTGCTGACGTTACGGTCGATGCGAGCCAAGCAGGCCAAGGTGTTACCACCTTCAATGTTCATGGCACAAGAGCCACAGATACCTTCACGGCACGATCGACGGAAAGTCAAAGTAGGGTCCATTTCATTCTTAATCTTGATGAGAGCGTCCAAAATCATTGGACCGCAGGCGTTCAAGTCGACCTTGTATTCCTGGAGGGTAGGCTTTTCGGCAGGTGTATCTGGGTTCTGCAAAGCAACATAGGTTAGCAGCAAGCCAATGGCAAGGAAAACACAAGTACACGGTCGCGTACCCAACGGTAGATTTCAAAAGTCTTGTACATGGGCTCCTTCTTTGCTGGAGTGTTGTCGGGAGGACTGGGGTTAGTGCTGGCCATGTGGGTGGGTGCAGAGGTGTTGAATGAGCGAGCCATGCTGGCGACAGGCTGGGGTAAAAAGCAATTGAGTGAATGGATTCGTGGGCGATGGACGCAGAAAAAAAGACTTACAGCAAAAACCTGCTTGCGAAGAGCAGGGCGGATGGCAGCCGACATGAGCGACACAGACATTGGAAAGATTAGAGTGGGGATTGCGCGAACAAAGGGCTGTTGACGGCTAGAGTCGCAAGTGCCCTGTCCTGCCCGTAAACCGCTTGCGTATAGATTGCATTGTAAAATCCCAAAGCATGTGATCGCCGCTCACAATGAAAAAATTTCTGCCTGTGCCAATCATGTTCCTTCCGCTTAAGCTTAAAAACCAATCAAATGCCGTTTTATATCTTAAATGTAACCAATGGCGGGAGAATCGGATTGGGTAATTTTGCTTATACGCTTTCTTTCTTATTGGCTTGGATATCACAATTTTTATGGCATAGTAAAAAAAAAAAAGGATGGGTCAAGACAAATCTATGTAATTATTATGGAAGTGAGTGAGTATACAGTGGGAATTGGTTTATACAGTGGTGGTTTGGTGCTTTTCATGATCCTGAATGTAGCCGCGTACGACGTTGCTAAGCGTGGTGAAGTTGACGGGTTTGGAGATATAATTAGAGAAGCCCACTTGTTTGCATTTTTCAGCAACGTCGCTCATGACATTCGCTGACAGAGCTACAATAGGGATGGGATAGGCATTGGTATGAAGGGTTTTAGCTTCCCATTCACGGATTTCCTTGGTCGCTTCATAGCCATCTGTAAAAAAAAAAAACGTCCTTAGCAAGGCAACTCATGTCTAGGCTATTGGGCGGGCTTGTCGCTCTTACCTTTGACCGGCATGAAGAGGTCGCAGAGAATCAAGGCATAATAGTTATGAGGACGAGATAGGACAGCGTCGACACATTGGCTTCCATCCGAAACCACATCGACTTCAAGTCCAACCCGGACAAGGTACCGTACCATGACCTTTTGGTTCACCAGGTTATCTACAGGGAAGCAAGGGGGTGAATAAACATCATGGACGCAACCCATCCCTAGGGTGTCTGCTTACCTTCTACTAATAATACACGATGGCCCCGGTTGCCAACTTCGGCCAACATACGTTGGAACACCTCATGTTGACCAGCAACCATTTGCTGAGCAGGGGGCAGGTGTCGATTACGCAAGGACCGTTTTCGACCCACCGTGGCGTTAGAGCCAGCAGGGTCTTCACCGGAAGTAGAGGAAGATACGTCGCTCGACGGAAACAACTGTTGAATCTTGCTACGCTTGAGGGGTTTGAACACAAATTCGCAGTTATCAAATAAGTTGCGGTCTTGTTCATCCGAAGCGCCTTCAAAAATCGTCGATCGTTGCATATGGGTAGTCAGAACGATGGTGATGGCATCCTTGTGCGCGGGCGAGGTAGCGATATGCCGAATGAGAGGTAGAATTTGCTGCTGCATCGACAGATTAATGACGATCCAAGAGTACGGTAATTTATCAGGGTTGGTCAAAATTTGCAAAGCTTCGACATGACTATGACACACATCGAGTGTATCAATGGTTTTGTAATGTTCCTTGAGCAACGTCTCGATATGCTTGATGGCGACGTCTCGAGAATAGATCCATTCCGATACAATGAGGGCTCGTGCGGCAATAGGTGCGGAAGGTGTAGATTGGATGTGGGAAGGAACAGAAAGCGTTGGCTGAGAGGGAGCCTCTATATCGTCAGTGGATGTTCGAAAGGCTTTTGGAAGTTGAAGCTCTCGAGAAATCTTGCATGACAAATCTCGTTTCTTGACCGCTCCTGCAAAATCGGTAGTGACATCCGGATTGGCTTGTCCAGCACCCGTAGGTAACAACCCACCGGACGGCGCGGTCTTGTAGAGAAGGGCCTCTTGTACTCGAGCTGCACTCGTAACCACACCAAGCTGTGTATGCTTGATCGAGTGCTCCAATGGGGACGATGTCCCAAACCCTGATGTTTCCAAAGCCGAACTGATCACTTGTTGCTGAAGAGGTGTCGTCATACCATGGGAGTGCACGCCGTAGGCACTAGCTCGGAAGAAAGGACTTTTGATGGTTTCTTCCTGTGGAGTTTGGGGTCGTGGTAAAGTGGCAGGGTGGGGAATAGAGAATTTTACAGTAAAGTAAAACGTTGAGCCTTCGCCTTTACGGCTAGTGCAAGTAACGCTACCGCCATGCAGTTCGATGAGTTGACGAGAGATGACAAGGCCAAGGCCACTTCCTCCATGTTTTCTAGTGGACTGTGAGAGAGAGAAGAAAATAATGAGTACCGGGGGGAGGTTTCATCAGACAATCATAGGTAAGTAACACATACTGAAGCATCGACTTGAGAAAATGGCTTGAACATAACCGCTTCGCCATCCGCATCAAAACCAGACCCCGTATCAACCACTTCAAACATCAGCATGATCTCCGAATCGCTGGTAATAGGCTTTTGAACGGTACATTTGGTATAGACCTCGCCAGACGTCGTGAACTTGATAGCATTCTACAGAAGGAGGTTACAACATGTCAAGGTTTCTCTCATCATAGGATGGTGGACAGACTTACGCCAATGAGATTCAGTAGCACTTGACGCAATCGAATCCGATCGCCAATAACGACATCCGGTACATCTGGGTCGACCCAAAAACTCATTTCTAAACCCTTTTGGATAGCAAGCGTCGACAAGAGTTCATTGGCATCCTCCACCATACCCAAAAGACTGAAGGGTTCCATCTCTAATTTCATCATGCCGGCTTCAACCTTGCTCAAGTCCAAAATATCATTGATAACAACGAGCAGAGATTCGGCCGACTGCTGGATAGTATGGGCATAATCGAGTTGTTCAGGCGTTAAATCAGAGTCAAGCATGAAGTTGACCATGCCCGTGATGCCAATAAGAGGTGTGCGGATTTCTAGGTTGGGTGGTGAGAATAAGTAAAGGGAGAGGGTTCTAATGAAGGGATGGTGAACTTTACCATGGGACATATTGGACAAGAAGCGAGTTTTGCTTTCAGTCGACTTTTGAGCGGCATCATGGGCTTCTTTCAACTTTTGTTCAAATTGCTTTTGATCATTGATATCCGTACTATACAGTAAGGGGTCAGTCAATAAAAGTGCCCTGCCATCATGTTCTCAGCTTGGAAAACACTTACCAGGTACCAAACCATCTGGCATCAGGAATCTCGTCTTGATGAACCGAGTTGCACTTGATCAAAAACCATCGATATTCACCGTCCTTGCCCAGGAGTCGAATCTCCTCCTGCCAACTCACACTTTCGTCTTCACCCACTTCCGGTAGACGTAGTTTATGGCGGTCTTCCGAGTGAACCTGGGCCATAAATGCTAGCCCCTTTGCACAATCCAAAGGTTTACCCGAGTAATCCTCCCACTTTTGATTGGCGTACGTGATACCGAATTCCGGAGAGAAGGTAAAAACGAGTTGTGGGATGGTTTCGGCCAACAGTCTGTATTTGCGTTCATTATGTTCGATCTCCAATTGACGTATGCTGAGCTCCTTGGCGACTCTTTCATCATGAATATCGGTGCTGTGCAAAGCAGGGAAGCGTTTAGAAAGGCGATTGAGGGTGAAATAAATTTGAGTGGAGAGGACTTACCAAGTGCCTGATGACAAAGCATGAGCCAAAAAATAAAATAAATGAGTAACGGCCTATCTTCAAGAGAACCAACATGATTCCAACTCACCAAACCAATTAATAATGTTGCCCTTCACGTCTCTCAACGGCACAGTTCGCCACAGAAAATAGCGGTATTCTCCATCAAAGCGCTTGAGTCGGTATTGACCAGCAAAGCCGACACCCCGCTCAAACGCATCCTTCCATTGTTGTCTGCAGGCGTGCCTGTCGTCAGCATGCATATGGCTTAGCCAATGTGACCCTAGGTGGTGTTTCATGGGCTGGCCCGAGTATTGCATGACACGACTATTGACCCAAGTGGTCCTTCCTGTTCGTGTTGAGCAAGTGCTATATCGATGGGGAAAAAAGGTCTCACGCGTTAAACCAAAAAAACAAACAACCACGAAAGAATAACGCCACCATGCAAGATTTACTTACAAGACATGAATGGGGATACCATCGATGATAAGTCGCAAAAGTCGGGATTTGGGTGTGATCATACGGGTTTCATCCATGGGGAGATCGGATGGAACCACGTCAGTATCACCATTCGCTTCGAAGAACTGGTGCACTTTCTTTCGTTCCCCTCCTTCGGTGTCTTCTGAACCCGATAACGTCGGTTGGGTGGACGGTGGTGGATGCCGGCGTTTGACTTTGGGTTTTGGTTTTTCAGGTGGTTCGTCCGCTTCGTCACTGGCCAGCGCGTCATCGTCCATGGTGGGATGGACAATATTGGTACGAGCGGGCAGGATGATTCTTCTTCCTCCTTGACGCTTAGCAATCTCTTCACTTGTACCGGGAGATAAAATGGCTTCCGAGTCATAAGCACTGCTACCGCTGCTGAGGGTTCGCCATCGGTACACACTGGAAGGCGGTATAGATGACACAATGGGAAGCCCCGTAGTGGGTGAGATAGCGTCCCAGCCATGTCGCATAGCCGATGATAGGGGGGAGGCCGATCCAGATGAATCGGGTGTAGAAACAGCTGTAGACGACGTAAATCGGTTGGAAGTCGGATGGGTTGCGGTATCTTGTCCCTGTGGAAAGCTAGAGGACGAAGAAGATTCGGTCAGTTGAACAATGGCTTGGGTGTGCTTGTCGTAATTCAGATTAAAGTCAGGCGCTTCTTCCTGTGCCATATCGTCTTCTGGTACACTCGTCTCCATTTGCTGAAGCATGGCGATACCACCAGCTGAGAAGGGACCTCGTCCGGGATCCTCAAAAACACCTTTCGCAGTAGGTGTAGGCGTGGCCGAGTCCGTATCTGTGGTGGCATTGTACGGATGTTGCCTTGATTGTGCTGGTGATATAGGGTTACTGGAAGCGGTTTCCGGGGAGATTTCCTCATGCTTGGAGGGCGACTGCGTATCGGAGGTTGAGAAAGGGTTGTGATTGCCGCTATCTTGATGTCGATAGTAAAACAGTTGTCGTTGGAGATGTTGATGAGCCAGACAGGTGGAAAGACTGGTGGCAATAAAAGGCACGATGGATTCAATGCAGGATATTAAAATTTGCGGGTAAGGTACGACGGTGGAAAGGAAAGAGAGAATGGCGAACGGTGCTCCCGTGGGCAATTTGCCGGTATTACGGCCGGTGTGATGATAAATAGGAATATGGACAATGGAATGGATATTGCCGATAGGAACAGGATAGGGAATGGAGGTTGTACTATAGGATTCTGGAGACGTTGGGTTGAAGGCGTCATCGTCAATGCCGATGTTGGATTGAAAGAACGGGTTGACATTGGGATCCATCATGATAGGTGAAGGGGCAGGCGATTGGGACCATGGCGAAGGTTGATGTTGTTCGTATTCGTCGTAATATAATTCACGGACTTCACCTGGTGGGGCACTGTTGTTCGTCGTAATATCACCACTACTACTACTGTGAGGTAACGCTTCGGCTTCTTCAAACCGACATTCATCCTTTTCATTTCGAGGATGATCACATAAATTCAGACAGGGTGTACCTCGAGGAGGAGGGGTTTGAGCCATCGAAATGGCGTTGGAAGACCGTCGACGCAGCAAGTCTTTTCGATCAGGTGGTGGTGGTGGTTGTTGTGAAAATTGCGTGCCTGGAGGAGCATGTTGTTGATGGTGTACTTGATGGTGATGATGATAGCTATCGAGTCTTTCCATGAGACTTCTCTTGAACATGCCGCTTCCATCCTGTTCATGGAGAAGTTCGGAAGGATTGGATGAATGCATACTACTAGGGCTTTGTCGATATTCCCTGGACAGAACCACGGTATGGCCACGGCGAATGATTCGATCGACGGAATTCTTATCCACAAGGGGTTCATCGTCTCGATCAAAAGGTTGCAAACTTTCAAAACATAATGGCAAAGTAGGTACTTTGGGCTTATCGCTGGATCCATCCGATGTGAAATCAGGCATGCCCAGCGATGACTTTGAAAAATAATCATCCGAGGGCTGATGTTCTGTCGATGGATCGTTTTCTGCATCTGAAGTCTGATACTGGGTACTATTGCTTTTGCTGTAAACAGCTTTGACTCCCCAGGGCGAATGGTATGGGTCGCTAGGGTCTTGCGGTAAACTCAAGCACACGCGAGAAGCATGAAAGGATGATTGTGATAATATGTCAATGGTTGCGTACCACCAATTTTGCAAGTCGATTTCACTGGACAACTTTAGAGCCGTCTTATATAGATTAGGAGGTTCAAGTGACAATACCACCTGGTTGAATTGCGGTAGATTGGGAAGTTTGACTGACGGATGGTCATTGCTGCTCACTCGCTGCTGCTGGTCATTGTAAAGTTGGGCATGGTATTGACTGGTGGATCGAGCATACACCAACGGATCAGAGGAAACAGTGACGCTTCGTCTAGACAGGTCAAGCGCCCCAGCCCTTTCATGCTCAGTGGATGCAGCTGGTTGCATCAGAGGAAAAGAGGTAGCGTATAGAAACCGTCACGCCGGGTTAGGTTGGAGCCAGTTGAGAATGCAAGTGAATATTTTTGAACTGAGCGATTTCGCCTAGCCAATGAAATAAAAAATGAGGCTCTAAAATGAAAGAAAGCTATTCATGAACTTCTTTAAACACTTCAAAAAAATAAAGGAGCGGGCGATGATGTCGCATTATTCAATGACATCGTTGAATATCCCTTAAATGGTAATACACTCCGAACACACGTCTTGGAAGAGCCACGGTGTTTATTTGACTCTGAATTATTTAGTATGTAACAACTTGAGAAAGTAAAAAGTAATATGTACATGGGAAGCGTGAAGACCATGGCTACCAGAGAAAATTTTTTTTTGGCTGGACTACCTTGTCCGTTTTCAGAAAGGCTCATTTGCTGAGAGGCAAGTACTTTGGAACACCGGGATCTTCACACACTACTCGAAGCTTCTCACTGGAAGCCCGATTAGAAAATACGACTCGAATATGTTTAAACAAATACAAATGCTTCTTCTCACTACAACACACTTGAAGGTGAATAGCATAACGAAGTTTACCGCCTTCCTCTTGATCATCCGGTAAGCCAAACGATTTCTGTCGTAAAAACGTCTTGGTCCCCGCTGGCATATCGCATAGATCGTAAGGCACCAGAAATAATTTGACGGCGGTTTTGTTGGGATTTTTAATGACAATTTGAATCTGTCCTTGCGGTGGGAGACGATAATAGCCTGGCTTGCGTTTGAATCGATCGCCCGTCAAACCCCCTTCCAGATCAATGGTGCCAACGTACGGCGTGGGGAGATCACTATCTTCCAGCTCATAGAAGAAAGAAGGAAACACCAGAGTGACGTGAGATGGACATCGCAGGGAGGGCTTGCATGGACCATGGCCCAACACCCCGATTTGGGCATGGAAGGTAATAGGCTTTGAGGGAAGGGTTGACATGCGACCATTTAAAATAGACTCCTCATAACTGCCCACCAAGCTGCCAAAGAGTTCACCATGAGGTAATCCCAAGGAATTGCGGCGGGTCGGAGTATGGTGCACAAGACTGCTGCGTCGAGTTACATGTAAATGCTTCAGGTCTGCGGTGGGATGATGAAAAATGTGAGAGGAAGGAGAAGTGGAGTAGGCCACAGTGCGCCCTTGATGTGTATATTGCATGGAGGGGGATGTGGCCAAAGGAATGTTGATGTCATCTTCTTTTTCTGTGTCTTCTTCATGCTGCTCCATGGCCGAGATCGATAACCTAGAAAGTCGGCGTTTCGCTATACTAGACTGAGCCATAGGCATGGCAAAGAACGTCGTCCGAGGAGGAGATAATGGAAGATGTGGAATCGATGTAGGCACATCCGTAAGCTGGAGTGGGTGGAACGACGGTATGTGGTCTGGTGGTGGGTCGTCTCTATGATGTTGAGAAAAAAGATTGGCCAGATTGGACGAAGCAGGCGAAGGCGCTCGTTGAGGTGATGATCCATCTTGCGAAGGACTAAAGGTTAATTGTACCACGGGCTTTGTATGCTGTTTCGCCAAGTGAGAAGCAACATGACGATGCAACGAGCGGTTCATCATCCTTTGCGATTGTCCCGGTGAAGGAAATGGACTGGTTGCCTTTCGCTTGGAGGGAGTTTCTGGTATGGGCATACCAAAGTAGTCAGCGGGCGGAGGGTCCAGATGAAGAGACTCGATGCTATGCTCAATGGTTTGAGTGGCATTTGGGTCGCCAACATGTTCATCGAACACCACTTCCAGTTGAATCACCCCAAGTTGGGTCATATGCACACGCTGGAATTGAAACACCTTTAATTGGGCATCTGGCTTGAATTCTCGGCGTTCCGTGGGGGGATGGTGAGCAAGGCGAGGACTGGTGGAAGGAGTCTCGGATGAAGTAACATTGTAGGAGAGTTCGTCTTTGCAAAGGGTGTTGGAACATAGTAAAGGGTGGATGGGCATTAGCCTGGTGTGAGCGTAAACGGACTGTAACAATAGAATGTGATCCTGATGGGTCCCATGACGTCCCCTTCGACGTCTGCTGGGGACATGGGAAGTGTCCAATGATGTAATCCAGCGTTCCAATAAAATATCTTGCTTATAGATATCGACATGAACGGGCCATCCGGAGGTCCAAGCTTCGCTTAACGTTGACGAAACGGTAGGTTTAGAGTGTAATTGATCGGAAGGGATTCTAGCTCTCAGGATGATATGAGCCAATTTGCATAGAAATTCATGGCTATCGAAATGTGAATCTTTTTTGGACGAGGAGGAAGGCGCTTCTTTTGTTGCTTCATATGAGATGGGCATGACCCCAAAGCTTATCTCCAGACAACTAGCGGCGACTTGGATAAGCGACGGAGGAGGGTGAGATGAGGAAGAAGTATGGCGGTTATGAATGGGCTGTTTGCAATTGTACTTTTCGACCACAGCAGCCTTGACCGAACCAGGCATTCACTCTCGATGGGAGATTCGTTGGGTGGGGAAGGAGTTTAAGGCCAAAGGCAGTCCAGTCAATCATTCACACTCTCTTGTTTGTGACGCCTCGGCGAAAAGAATTTTCAGTGGTGTTCGTGACCAGCTTCTATGGTTTCAATTCGGCCCTGGTAGCTTGATCAAAATTAATTCGACGAAGGGAGCTTTTGGTAGGAGAAACATAGCTAGGCAAAGGAGAGGAAGGGCAAGGCAAGACAAGACAGTGGGTCGGGTAGATTGGTTGGTATGGGCGGCGGAAAGGACGTCAAGTACAGGCTAAACTGTGGGCAAGAAGCACGTTCTTGTGAAAGAATGGATTTATGGTCTTTTTTCATTTTAATGATCATTAATGTCTATAAGGGTCTAATGGGAATCATGTCTAGTCCAGTCTAGTCTACGATACAATCTGGTAGTCAATGTTCAATCCACTACCCTTTAACGCGAGTGACGATGACTTGAAGGCATTGGGTAATGGCTTCTTGTCAGGAGCTATGAATTCCAAATGACCACGCTCAGAGTGGAACGTCTTGTAGCTGTAATAGTTTCTCCAAAGTTCACCATCCCATAATTCAGGACAACGAAGAACAAAGTGTTCGAAAGAAACATCCTCTCCTTCAAGGACGGGATTGCGCATCAAGCAGTAAGAGACCATGTGTAGCCAAAACAAGGTCTGTGTCTCCGAGTAAGTAATGCATTCATGAGCAAATTCAGTAGTGGCCCTTTGATTACGATCATTTTGACTTGCTTGCTTAGCATCTTGTTCAAAAAGTTCGATGCTTCGAAGGATGACGCGAAGGTTGTTTAACAGTCGACGAGTCGCTTCACTTCGTCGCTCATGCGTCCGTTCAATTTGTCGCAAGTAGATATAAGATATCCTTATCAAGGATTGGTAATCGAAGAACAGAAACACCCGGCCTTGATCATACCAATTCTTAAAATCTTGATCGCTTAAATGGTATGGGTTGGGCATATCTTCCCATGGTGTGATTGGCATTCTCGCCTGCGACAATGGCCGTTCTCGACTGGTGGGAGCAAAATCCGCTAAACTCTGATGACGAAGTTTCCTTCTGATATCTTCATCGTCCTCATCGACGGGGCTAGGTGATTGGCCAGCGGGTCTTGCCACTGCACCCGGTGGCAATCTGGAAGATGAAGAGTGTCGATCGAGGTTGGTTACGAAAGGTTGAGGAGCTGAAGAAACAGACAATCGAAGCAATTGTCGATTTTCTATGGTGGAACTGAGGTAATTGAGGATGGCATCCAATCCATCTCCTGTTTTGGCCGAACAAGGGAAAATTCTCCACTGATGGCCATTGAGAGCTTCCCTCAATCTTATATCCTTCATCCACTCGTCGCCTATATCTTGTGCACTCACAGCATCTTTTTCATCCTGCTTATTGGCCACCGTGATGATGATGGCGTCAGTAAGCTTGTCGCCATATTGTGTGAGTAACCATAACATGTTGTCGCGCGCTTTCTCCGCTACAGTCGGATGACTGCATTTGACCGAGTCGACAAAGAAAATGATGACATTGGTTTTGGATAAGTGGGGTATACTTTGAGCCATTTCTGATAGTTGACAGGTGGTGTGGCCCAAGAAAAAAAAAAAAAAGAAAAAAAAAAAGTTGGTGAAAGGATGCAATGGAGTTGAAAGAGATGCAAGCACGGTAAAGTTAGATGAGAAGGTACCTCCGCAATGCATTACTGTGTTTGAAACGTACCTGCGTATTCCCAGATTTCATACATTTGATTCAGGTACGGAATGGACTCGACGTTATGCTGATCGGTGCGGACGACATCAAAGGCTTCATCAGGCTGCAGGTACATACAGCGATTAGAAGCACTGGGTAGTAATTGTAGCCATGCTATCCAGAAACTTACCGTGCCTACTGCATGCTTAAAATACAGTTTGTATAGAAAGCTTGTCTTGCCGGATCCTCTTGCGCCTAGAACCCGCACAGTAACATCTTCCTCTGATGAAAGACGAACAGTTAGCATTCGAATGGGAGTCACATACGCCGGGTATGCTGATCACCTTCTGGGGTCTGGTCTTGTGAAGGCCGCGGGGACCATAAGCTGCTGAACAGGCCAGAAAAGCGACTCATGGCGAAAAAGAAGATAGCTTAAAGTCAAAGGAGAGCCCTGATATTTATTAAAGTGTTGAAAGGTGACACAAAGGCAGGCAGGCAATTTTATGACAATTCGATGATGATAACGCAGTGGATATTCTATTTACAGAGGAAGAAAAAGCTATGTCAGGAGGAATGTAGAATGAAGCTTGGTTTAGTTGGTCGCCCGCGACACCTGCACAAGAAAGTGGATGCGAGAGCAAATCTCTCCTGTAGCAGAAACATATCCATCAATACCTCATTATCGTATTAAAAGGGCTTCAATCTTCAACTTACGTGCATCCTTGGCAGTTTCTGCTTCAAGTTCATAAGTCTTGTGGTCGTGGTCGCGGTCCTTTATCACCGAAATTTTGAAATTGTTAGGTGCTTTTTTGCTCTGCTTACACGATAACACCTGGCTAACATGGAAAGACGTCGTTTTCACGGAATCAAACATGCCAGTCTTTTCAGGCGGCATGATATGAACATAGTCGCCATCAATGGCAAGGACACTTTCACGCTTGCCGACAAACATTGGCATTTTTCGATTGACTGTATAACGCTAAGGGAACAATGGAATTAGCACACACAACGACAGTTAAGCCGGTGGAGACCATGGGTTACATACCTTGTATGAAGACATGGAGTTTTCGTTAACAGATGGGTTGGAACTGTTAGGAGAGAACAGTGCAGCAGGGTACATGTCTTCCTTTTTCTTTTTGCTGGGAGATCGCCACATATGCGATGCTAAATAGAAGGTTAATGGGGGGGGATGAAGGCCGCTCAAACCGATGAAATTGGCACTTACAGCTTGCAACATTAAGTCCAGTAGCAGCACTCTTTTTGATCAGACAAAGATCCACAATGCCATTGAGACTTTCAACCGTTGTATCATTGGGTACAATCATATTAAAATCAGCAAAAGTGAGAATATATTCATTGGTGTCCAGTTTCCGTTTGCGACACACCAATTCCAGTACATCGCCCATGAACATTTGTGCATGCACAGGGAGGGTGGTAGTAGCCGATACTTCTTCGTTGGTCATCAGTTTGATACGGAAATGTTGTGTAGGTGCCATGGTCATGGTGGACTTGGTCAGCATGTTTTTCTGAGAAGGAACAGGGACAGCAACATTAGCAGACGAGACTTGCTCGTTGGACAATGTTGCCTGTGGGTTGGCCTGTTTCAATTGGCTATCGGCTAACCCATCGGTCAGATTCGAAGTAATGGCTATGGTATCGGGTTGGTCGACCGGTACAATATTGGCCTCGATGGGTTTTCCCGTATCGGGGGCAGGCGCACTTGCTCCAGTGAGGCCAGAAAGTGGAGGTACCATCAAAGCTGGTTCTTTCTTGGGGCGATTTTTCGCCAACCTCGCGTGCGTTTGTTCATTTTGTTTGACTGTGAACAGCAGCGACAATTAGGATTAGTTTAAATGAGCAGGCTAATGTAAGCATGTATATGCGTACCTTGTGATGGTGTCGCTTCACATAAAGCAAATTGATCAAAGGAGATACGATTGATACGGCGTGCTCTGTCGACAGCTACGAAATATAAATGGTCAATATCTCTCACTACAACAATGCTACTATCCCTTCCTCTGACTACCCACCTGGCAAATCCTCTTCAATTTCTCCATCCTCTTCTGCAATCCGTAGAACCCATCGGACAACATCGCACATTTCCGGCTCAAGTTTTGGCGTCTTCTTTTGCTCAATGTACTGATACAACAAGAATCCAATGACTTCTTCAACTAGAGCGTCGGATCGCACTGTGATGTTCACTGGCGTCTCGGGCTCTGAGCAAAACGGTAAATAGACACAAAGCATGGTGGGACTGGTTTCTCCTTTTCCAGAAACAAACGAATAATCCTCGGCAAAGGGGTTCTCTGCTGCCTTACCCTTCTCAGCAATCATGGCTGACAAGGTGGACCGTCGAGTGGCTAAAGGTGGCCTAGTCAGTAATGGTTTTCGATCATAGATGAGCGGGGTCGTGGTATCTTGATCATCAACGAGAGACAAAATGTGTTGCTTTTCAGGAGCAGGTGAAATGGAGGGTGGTGGTTGGTCAAAGTGGACGGCTGGTTGTTGAGCTTCTAGGGTGGACCGACGTCGAGCTTTTCGTCGGGAAGCCAGGTCGGACACTAGCGGCTGCGCATGGTTAATGGCGGAGGATTTTTGATTCAAGTCTTCCGATGAATGCAGAGAAGGATCAATTGGAGAGTAGATGGAAGGTTCCAGTGGAGACGTTGGAAATGCACCATTGCTTCCGTCTTCACTGGCCGGATTGTTGTCTGTGTCTGGACTAAAAATTCGGTTGTTCACAGCAATGTCAGCAGAACTGACCGCAGCGGTGAGGGAGTCCATAGAGGCTCTTGATTTACGAGCGGCCGAAGTGGAATGTGAAGCACCGGTAATCATGACGGCTGGGGCAAATAATCGCTTGTTCAACGAGCGTTTTTGCTGGCCATCGGATGAAGCTCGTTCTCTGCGACTACATAGTCCGAGTGGAGATAAAATATTAGCTGATAGAGTAAGGAGACAATTGTGAGGGAAAAAAATCTTACCCAGTCACCTCTACATCGTCCATATCATAGTATTCTGCACTTTCCATACTGGCCTTGGTGGCATCGTCTGGCAAGGGAGTTGTAGCAGCTGGATGGACAGAGCTGGTCACGTCTTTCTTTCTCGAGCGAAAGCCACTTCTCATAGTACGAGGACTATTTGTCAATAGATTGTTAGGGCCCATGTTCAAGGGATTGTCATATACAGGTGAATAACAGAGGTGCATCTCAGGGTATACAGGAGCAGCGGTACGAATGTAATCATTGGTCATAACATTTGGATTGAAGGAGATCATTCGTTCACCTCGCTCATCAGTGCGCAGAAATTTTATGCGCATCTGATGAACAAGGTAGTTAGGATCAGTTATGAGTGACATGGGAGATCTGGCAGCATCGGTGAGAAGGCGAAAGCAGGTAGATACAAAGTAGCCTCCGCTCGCATGAGATTCCCTAACTCACGGTCACACACACAGGCCCCAACAGTATGAAATACCAAGCAGGCAGGAAAATTTACTGAAAAGTACGAATTACCATCCATTCAACCTCTTCATAAAATACGTGATAAAAAGAAGTTATGGTTTACTGAGAGTTGCTATCTTTTGCTACCATTGAACGAGGAAGCGCTCGCTCAACTGGCTGGCTGGGCACAGACGCATAATGGCGGTTAGTGACTGTTTTCTTCGTGATGTCAGCAATTTTTTCATGTTTTTCAAATTATATAATTCGGTGATTCTTTTGCTGTGTTCTAGCTCTTTTTTATCACCCTTTGAACTCTTCAATGGCCGCTCCTCTCACTCACGAAACCATCAAGGATGGTTGGTTCCATGAAAAGACCACTCTCTGGCCCGGTCAAGGTATGTTCTGGTCGAAAGGGCACATCAATCGAACGAAGTGTGCATAAATCTCATCTCGGGAAACCATGAATTTTTTTTTCTTTCCTTACCGACCCCAGCTATGGCCATCAAGGTCGAGGAAATCCTTCATGTCGAGAAGTCTTTGTACCAAGACGTTCTTGTTTTCCAATCCTCCAACTACGGCAACGTCTTGATTCTTGATGGTGTCATCCAGGCCACTGAACGTGACGAGTTCTCGTAAGTTATCTAGCCGGCTGATGGAAAGCTGGATCTCCCCATCTCACTCTTTGTTCACAGCTACCAAGAGATGATCACTCACTTGGCCATGAACTCTCACCCCAACCCCAAGAAGGTAGGGTGTTTAACTCCAACTGATCTATTATCACAACGTTGTCATACTGACCGGCAGTCCTTTTTTCTATATTGACACTTATCAGGTTCTTGTTATTGGTGGTGGTGATGGTGGTGTCCTCCGTGAAGTCGTCAAGCACGAATGTGTTGAAGAAGTTGTTCTTTGCGAAATTGACGAAGCTGTTCCCCGCGTGTCCAAGAAGTACTTGCCTAACATGGCCATTGGTTTCCAACATCCCAAGGTTCACGTTCACATTGGCGACGGTTTCCCTTACTTGGAAGACAAGGTCAACACTTTTGATGTTATCATCACCGACTCTTCCGACCCCGTTGGACCTGCCGAGTCCTTGTTCCAAAAGCGTTTCTTCGAGCTCATGAAGAACGCTCTTACCCACAATGGTATCATCTCCACCCAAGGTGAATGCATGTGGCTCCATCTTCCCCTTATCAAGGAAGTCCAGACCTTCTGCCGCACTCTCTTCCCCGTTGTTGAGTATGCCTACACTACCATCCCCACTTACCCCAGTGGCCAGATTGGTTTCATGATGTTGTCCAAGGACAAGGAATTGACCTTGAAGAAGCCTTTGCGCAAGTGGACTCCTGAGCAGGAAGCCAAGCTCTGCCGTTACTACAACTCTGAGATTCACGCTGCTGCCTTTGTTCTTCCTCAGTTCGCCAAGGCTGCCATTCAAGAGTAAATGTGCAATGATTTTTTGGGCTGCCCACCCCTTTGTATGTGTTCTATCTCAACTGTGTCAAACTACGAGCCAACACGACGTTGCGATGTAAATATCGTGCTCCTACTGTCAATTCTTTCAGATTTTTAATTACAATGACGAGAAAAGAATAAAAAAAGCTGGAAAAAAAAATTGGAAGCGCGGGCGGTTACTGTCCAACTTCGCGTGATGAGGATAGATGAGATGAGCAGAGCCACCATGCATGGTGTTGACACCAGAGGAATCAATAGCATACATGTCATACCTGTATTGTAAAGGAGGAGTTGCCTGGCCTAACCGTGTCTCTCGACCCTTGCGAAGGTCTGAAATATCACACACACTCATAACATTCTGAAACGCAGGGACGAAATAAGTGTATTGAAAAGACCTTTCATAATACACGGTTTGCCAAAGGTCAGAAGGGCGCACCGTTGTAAGTGAATATTGTTCACCTTATACATCTAGTAATAAAATATAAAAAAAATAGCGCATAGAATGTATAAAGGGTGAACACGTCTTTTTGCATACAGCGAGAGCCAAAGACGTGAAAGTGCCTCGCTCTATATGAAATGAAACGTTAGTAAGGATGGGGGGTTAAAGAAGAATACGGGTTAGATAAAATAAAAATAAGAAAATGGAGGAGAGGGTGATGAGAAAGAGTCATGTATATACAGAATGAGAGTCCAGCCAGGACGTCAGTATGGATACCAAAAGCTGCACCTCACCACCAAGACTATCTCGACTCATTTGTCTTAATTCTTTTCGTCGTTGGTGGTGAGGACTTCGTCAGCCGGAGCATCGGTGGGCTGGACATCGGAGGGTTGACTCTCAATGTCCGTTTCGCTGCGAATACCAAAAAGTTCACGGCGTTCTTGTTCTTGTCTCTCCTTATCGAACCCGCCAATGCCAGGTTCAGGAACAGGGAAAAAGTGATAGGCGGCAATACCCACGATGACAATGACATAGGCAACGGGGTACAACCAGGTCACAGTATAACCAAATAGACCCAAGCCAAAGATCAAGCCGTAGAAATCCGAAGTCAGCAGAGACAAGTTGAAAACGACTGCTCCGGCCATTCGGAACATGATAGGGCCCAAAGAGTAAATACAGAACATACAAACAGTGTAGACGACCATCATGCCAATGGAGAAGGAGTCCTTGGAGAATTCGGCAAATTCATGGCGTTCCAAGATCATAAGCTGAACAAAGTTGATGAAGGTGGCGAAAAAGCTGAGCATACCCACTACTTCGTAGTGAGGATGTTTACGGATCATAAACTCTTCACCCACGTTGGAGAAACCATACAGAGTGGCACCAAGGATACAAAACAAGTCGCCCTTGACGGCATCCACAGCGCCATAGTTCTTGCCGGTCAACACATCGGAGACCACCAACAAGGCTAGACCACACAAGGCGATGATCACACCCACATACTGAAGCCAGCGGTATCTAGCACGCAGGCAAAAGAACGACAAGATCATAACCACAGGGGTGGTCCAGGCGTCCAGCAACATGGCGGATAGGAGAGACGTATACTGGTAGGCCTTGACGACGAAATAGTTACCTTCCACATCGATAAAAGCCAAGATAAAGTAGAACAAGGCTCGACGGCGAAACTGATACAACCAGCCCTTGAAACCACGCTTGTAGATAGCAACGGTATTGTATACGACGGCTACGATAAGACTAACAACCACGGTGAGTGACATGAGACCCCCTCCATCATTTTTATGGGCTCACTTACTAGTTGAAAAAGGTCTGGGTGGTAGGCATGGCATTGGCAGCCAACAACGTAGTGGTAACATTGGTACCCGTGATGCACAGAGACAGGACTAGGCAAGCGTTAAAAGAGGGGTCGAATGAAAAAAACAAAGGAGGCGATCGATCTACTTACATTGACCCAGTAGTAACACCTTCAAAAACTTTGGATCCTTCAAGAACTGCAAGCGTTCTTTCAGTGTACGGTGTTCTGCTAGTGGCATGGGTGGAGGCTTGACATAGTCAACGAACCTCTGCCACTTTGTCTTTTCCTGTTCTTCTGGCATCATGTTGTCAAGAGTGTTAAAAGAGGTGATCGATCTGATTCACACTGGGCCAGTGGGATAGCTGATTTGTTTTCCTCATAAAAAACACAAGAGTAAAAATTTTCAGCTGCGGCCATTGGAACACGCCGGAATCGGAGAAAGAAACTGATTGGAATCTTTCTCCGTTGTGTCTCCCTTTTTCGCCTTAGAAACTTCCCTTTTGCGCACTCTCATCCGACTCGCAACGGTTTCTAACCTACTTCTTTCCATCCAAGAAGTTCTCTTTCCAATGAATGCGCTCTCCAGGTAGGCCAAAACTAAACTTAAACCGACGCCAGGCATGTTTCGACAGGTTATAAGTCGGCGCTGCTCCCCCCCTTGCGCGTGGTGATGCCAACCCACGGTGTGACTGGGGGTGAGGGGAAGTGGATTTAAGACCAAAAGAGATTACTTAATTCTAATAATTTTCAACATGTTTAAGAGAGGATTTTAATGAGGTTGCTAGATTTCAAAGCAGCTTGCTATTTTATTTTCTCGCTGAAAGGAGAGAAGAAAGAAAGAGAGTCAGTAAATTCCCAGCCCAGCTCCCCCATTTTTTTTTTTTTCTTGGGAGCGGACCCGAGTCAGAGATAGCGAAAAGGTATAAAAAGGAGGTGGTCTCGTTTTTTTTTGGGACTTTACTTGTCATTCTGGTCTGGGTCACCTCTCCTTTTATTTTTCTCATCCAAACCACCCCCTCCACTCTGATTAGTCAATTATGTCGGGATTCAACATTGCCACCCCAGCAGCCATGCAGACCCCATCGCTGCCCACGCCTCATCACCCATCTCCATTTGCCGTGCCATCGACCCCTGCTCCCATCGATGCGCCTACGCCAAGTAGAGATCAGAACCCTTACATGGTGGCTGGCATTACTCCCACATTGCAGTAAGCATGGCCGTTGCGTTGCATGCATGGGGGTCATTTAATCCTAAATTCTGCTTTTTTATAGAAACATTGTCGCTACGGTCAACTTGGATTGCCGCTTGGATCTGAAAACCATTGCTCTCCATGCCCGCAATGCAGAGTACAATCCAAAGGTACCTATCCATGTTAGATAAGAGTCAACCTTGGGAGGGGTTGACTCTTGTTTGAGATATTCCTTGTGTCCAGAGCTAAAGCTTTTTGCTTTTTTTTTTTTGTTTTGCTCAATAGCGTTTCGCTGCTGTTATCATGCGTATTCGTGACCCAAAGACGACGGCCTTGATCTTTGCATCGGGCAAGATGGTGGTGACAGGTGCCAAATCCGAAGATGACTCAAAGTTGGCTTCGCGAAAGTACGCTCGTATCATTCAAAAGCTTGGTTTCCCTGCAAAGTTCACAGACTTTAAGATTCAAAACATTGTTGGTTCTTGTGATGTCAAGTTTCCAATTCGTCTTGAGGGTCTGGCTTACTCTCACGGACATTTCAGCTCCGTAAGTTTGACATCGCTAGCGTAATAGCTTCTTTGTTGCTGCCCATGACTGACATCATCCTTCAGTATGAACCTGAATTGTTTCCGGGTCTTATCTACCGTATGGTGAAGCCTAAGATCGTCTTGCTTATTTTCGTTTCTGGAAAGATTGTGCTGACGGGTGCCAAGGTGAGGGAGGAAATCTACCAAGCTTTCCAAGCCATCTACCCAGTATTGCAGGAATTCCGCAAACCATGAAAGAAACCTATCCACATCGTCGGTAGTATTGTACAGTTTATTAACCTCCCCTTCTTCTTTTCTACCACAAAATTTCCAACTCACAACCCCCCCCCCCCAATTTTAAAACAATACTTGTAAATTAGCTGCTTTTCCTTGCATATTTTTTAAAGAGAAAGAAGTACACTTTGAAAAAATCAAAAAACACACAAATTAAATACATAATTTCTTTCTTCTTCACTGTAAAAACTTGTCTATTGACGCGTTACCGTGTCATCAGCGCTCGCGGTTACACCGTTCTCAGCTGCTCCAGATGGTTTGAGTTAGTCAACGCCTATGGCCGACCGGTTGGGATTTCATGGGTGCTGACCTCATGGGGGATCACGGTTTGAGGTACTTTGTGGAAACTCACTATGGTTTGTTTGAAAAGAGGTCTCCTTCCGTTCACTGTCTTCGGCATCGGCGCTATTTGCGGACGCTGCCGAATGAGACGGAAACGTTTGTTAAGAGGATAACGCACTCGAACAAGGCATTCATGGCAACGGATACACTTTAAACTATAATTTAGCATGTCAAGATAATTTAATTGTCTAGGTTGTCATAGTAGGCCGCATCGATAGCAAGACAACAGCTGGTCATCGGCAGGGTCTGAAACCTTGTCAGGCCATGTTCCATTACAAGCACAGCATAGGGTGTTTTTTTTCCAACCGCTTGCCTTCCTTTCCACTCTTCCTTCCATCATGGTACTTGGAAAGCATGGATTCGCCTTGACTCCTCTAACCGCTGATAAAACCACCCGTCTGCAACGAAATGCTCAGTATAAACAGGTCAGTAAGAGCAATCAATTTATATTTATCAGTGAGGGGTTCCGAAACAAACCCAAAGTCTTGTCAATGAACACATGCACTTAAATGAACACATGCACTGAACACATGCACTTCAATCTAGATCGAACAAGCTGACATTGCCTACTTCCGCTCCATTCTACCGGAATCAAGCATCCTGGAAGAATCCTCATGTCCTCAGGACACTTATCTGGCTTTCTTAACCGACTGGTATAATTTGTATCGTGGAAGTTCCGCCGTTGTTTTACTCCCGACAACCACCGACCAGGTCCTAGCCATCCTAAAATACTGTAACGATCACCATATTGCCGTCGTGCCTCAAAGTGGCAATACCAGTGCTTCAGGAGGTGAGTTGAACATGCATGTTGTATGAACATCACTTCTCTTGACTCATGGTTGGCCCTGAATAGGCTCGGTTCCTGTTTTCGATGAAATTGTCGTCAGCACAAAGAAAATGGAGAATATAAGGTCTTTCGATCCTTTGTCTGGAGCACTTGTATGTGATGCTGGTTGCAACTTGGAGACTTTGGACACCTATCTTGCTCAGTATGGCTATCAAATCCCCCTGGACCTTCCTGCCAAGCATTTGTGTCGGATAGGTGGTAATGCCGCTACCAATGCTGGCGGTATTCGGCAGATGCGTTTTGGTAACCTTCATGGATCCATCATGGGCTTGGAAGTGGTGTTGGCCGATGGCACTGTGCTTGATAACTTGTCAACGATGAGAAAAGATAATACGGGATATCACCTCAAGAATTTGTTTATTGGTTCCGAGGGAACCTTGGGGTATATCACCGCTGTGTCCATCCAAGCAGTTCGTGTTCGACCGGCTGTCAATGTATTGATGATTGGGTTCCCTTCCTATGATCACGTTGTTAAGGCATATGACCTATGCAAGAAACGACTGAGTGAAACTATATCCGCCTTTGAAGTCTTAGACCAAGACTCTGTGCGCTGTGTGCAGCAAGTCGGTTTTCAAGTACCCGAGGGATCGCCCTTTCCCATAAGCTCAGATGAAGCATTCTATGTTGTCATGGAAACCGCTGGAAGTATTGAGGAAGACGAAAAAAAGGTACGTATTGGAAACCAAAGGGAAGGGCATGCTTAATGGGAGAACTTACACCGCATGAAACAGAGAGTGCAAAATTTCTTGGACGAGTTACGCAGTTCAGATATTGCCACAGATGGAGCCATTGCTACAACTGCCGAAGCGGTAAGAAAGAGAAAAGCTCTACTACAGGTTTCCTTGCTTAATGTATTTATTGGTATGTGCCTTTTTTCAGCGTGAAAGCTTCTGGTCATGGCGCACAAAATTGCCACCGTCCATTGTTCAAACTGGCCCACACTCCATTCATTTTGATATTTCTATGCCTATCCCAAAGCTCTATCAAGTTGTCTATGACACAAGAGAGTGGATGAACAAGCAGGGTATCATTGGGCGTGACGTTGTAGCAGTGTAAGCATCTATTCCTCTTGCATACAAATCAATATCTTGCCCATGTTTACCATTTGTTGTTAGGTATGGCTATGGTCACGTTGGAGACGGTAATCTGCATTTGACCATTCCGGCATTAATTGATAGTGAGGAATTGCGGGAAAAAATTGATGAATTCATTTACACTTGGCTAAGTACGTCTACCCTGTTCTCCAATGATAATCCCATGCTGACTTCTTGTTCCATAGCTCAATACTCTGGCAGTGTTAGTGCTGAGCATGGCATTGGTCTGATGAAGGCTCCATATCTCACCTACACCAAAAGTGTCACCATGGTGAATCAAATGCAAAGGATCAAAAACATGTTTGATCCCAATGGAATTCTCAACCCTTACAAAGTGTTTCCACAAGAACATGAGTTGTTGGAAGGACAAGCTGTCAAGAGACGAGTTCAAGCAGCTAGGTGTGGGTGTTAGTAGAAGAGCAGAGCCAGTGTAGGCTGCACTCACAGGACCATGGCTTTGCTTGCTGGTAGTTTTTCTATGTATTGGATGATAAATAAAACAATGCCTTTGCTTTTAACATGCCTCAGCGTGAACAACTGGATTGCCTTAACGAGGGACAATAGCAGTCACTAGGAATTCATTCTTACCCGTGAAAGATCAGCTATGGCAAGCTGCTTGCCCGTCGAAGTAGTTTGTTCTCTTTCGTTCGGCTTTGATCCAACTGCAACCAATGAACTATCCTCCACAACCTCCCTATGCTCGGCAGTATGGCACTTCGACACCGCCCATTCCATCTCAACAACAACCACCATTGAACGCTCCCATGCCTCGTTCTGCATCCGCTGCTCCTCATCTTGGACCATCTGCACCTCAGTCTGGACTGAAATTACCACCACCCGGCATGCCATATAGACAACCTTCTCCAGGCCCTCCTGGCCGACAACCATCCCCGAGTTTGATGCCGCGATCGTCTTCTCCTGCCATGCAGAGAGGACGAAGGCACTATCCTAATGCCCAAATGCAACCTCAACAGGGACCTGTTGCGTCGCCACCGCCTCAGTTCTTTTCTCCCGTGGCATCAGCTCCCCAGTCCAATGGATTTACAAGTGCTTCACCGCCTGTCCAGTCACCGACACCAACGATACCTTATAATCCCAATGCCCATCAGCCTTATAACGCCGCTATGCAAGGCATGGCCAACTTATCGATGAATGGTGCTGTTCATGTTCCTCTTATCGGTCAGCCTCCTCAAATCCATGACTTGTTTGCCCAGCCTCCTTCCATCGTCTTACCTCCAAACGTAAGCTATCCCTATTGGCCCGTAGAGCGGTACCCCAAAATTTAATTCCTGGTACTCATTAATTTTTTGTCTCTTTTTCAAAGTCGGCTGTCACCGCGGCCGCAACAGTTCAATGCTCTCCGCGCTTAAAGAAGTGTACATTGAATCATATTCCAAACACAGATGGATTGCTTCGAAAGTCAAAGTTTCCTTTGGCTGTTGTTCTCAACGAATATCCAAGCGATGGCTCGGGTGATATCGACATCCCACTGGTCGTTGATACCAACATTACTCGATGCAAGCGCTGCAATGCTTATATTAATCCATTTGTTACATTTTTAAGCAGTGGTCAGTGGCGATGCAATATGTGTGGTGTTGACAATGATGGTAGGTTGGTTTGGGTACTGAAGAAATTGTGCTGATGGGAGTTGACAAAATCCTCCTTCCCTCTTAGTGCCGCAATACTTTGATTACGATTACAACACGCAGCAGCAAGTTGATAGATGGTCTCGCCCAGAATTGAATTATGGATGTGTCGAGTACCTTGCGCCTACCGAATACATGGTCAGAGCGCCTCAGCCTCCTGTGTTTTTGTTTGTGATTGATGTATCCGCCACCGCTGTCCAATCTGGAGCTGTACTTGCCAGCATAGAAGGCATTATTGCTTCGATGGATAGCCTTCCCAATGAGACGGAGCGTACCAAGATTGGTTTTATCACCGTCGATCAAGCCGTTCATTTCTATACCTTGATTGATAGCGAACCTACCATGCTCACTGTCTCCGATTTTGAGGACATGTATTTGCCCCGCCCCGCAGGTGATTTGCTTGTCAATCTCCTAGAAGCCCGAATCGTCGTGGATGATCTTTTGGAACGCATGAAAACCATGTATGCCACGAATGCCAGTCCCACTTGTGCGCTTGGTCCAGCTCTTCAGGCTGCATTTAAGCTTGTGGTAAGTGAAACAGGGGGAATAACGGGAACATGAGAGTGGTGGTATGGCCTTTTCTGACAGGAACTATTGTGCCTTCTACAGTCTCCTACTGGTGGAAAAATCGTGTGCATGCAGTCTACTTTGCCTACCAAAGGAGAAGGTTCATTGACTATGCGTGAGGACCCAAAGTTGTATGGCACCAATAAGGAATCCAGCTTGTTGCAGCCAGGTAATGCTTTTTACAAGACGTTGGCAAAGGATTGTACGAAATCGCATGTCTGTGTCGACATGTTCCTATTTGGACAACAGTATAACGACGTAGCCACCATGAGTAAGTTGGGTTTTTTAAAATGGACAGTCTATGGCTAGCTGCATAAGGTCTCACCCGGTTATTTTAGACGTTGTTCCCCATTACACTGGCGGTAAAACACACTACTACCCCATGTTCAACGGTAACAATGCTGTGATGGCCAAGAAGGTCAAGGAAGAGATTGTTACGTTGTTGAGCGAAAAGATCGGTATGGAGGCTGTCATGCGTACTCGTACCTCGCCCGGCCTCATATGTAGAGAATTCCACGGCCATTTCACTGTTCGTCAACCTGATATCATGGCTCTTCCCAATGTGCCTAGAGATCAGTCCTATGTGGTGGAAATTGGCATTGAAGAAGAAATCAAGTCACCCATTGTCTGTATCCAAACTGCTTTGCTGTTTACTACCTGCGATGGCGAGCGTCGCGTGCGTGTCATGACCATTGCCTTGCCTGTCACCAACAGCATATCGCAAGTTTTTACTTCGGCTGATCAAGTCGCTCTCACACATGTCATAGCCCAACAAGGTAGAGTAATGGATGGATGAATAGAGACGTTGATGTGCGTGATAGGTCATAACCTTTTTTATTCAATATTAGCCCTGAATAAGGCTACTACGACCAAGATCAGCAATGGTGTCGATCATATTGCCGACTCTATTATCAATATTAGCAAAGCGTACGCAAAGGAAATCATGGTGGCTACAGCAAACAGTGCCAATTCGCTCTCCATTTGTGAGAATCTCAAGTTATTGCCACTCTTATGTCTGGGCTTGATTAAAAATGTAAGATGAACAGTGTATGCGAGGTCATAAAGCCCCTACCAACATTTAAATACTCATGCTGGTTTACTCCCTTAGGATGCCTTCCGCCAAAACTCCAACGTGCCGTCGGACAGACGCGCCATTAGCATCATTCGACTTCGAACCCTGCCCACTGACCGATTTATACCATATCTTTACCCGCAGTTCTATTCATTGCACAATATGCCCCAAGAGGTAAAGTCGCTAAAGCTGTGATGAAATGAAAGGTGGAGAGGCACTGACAAATGACATCACGTAGGTTGGAGGCACGGATGAGAATAATCAGTTCATTATGCCACCTGCATTAAATCTTACAAGTGAGAAATTAGAACGATATGGCGCGTATTTGCTGGAAAATGGCCAGGACATGTTCCTCTGGCTAGGCAAAGATGTTGTTCCTCAGCTATGCATGGATCTTTTGGGAGCACCCAATATTGAAGCGGTCAAGACGGGCATGATCACGGATTTGCCCGTTCTTCCCAATCCCTTCTCGACTCGAGTCTCCAAGTTGATAGCCCATATTCGCTCCTCCCGTCGTGGTGCTGAGTACCTTGCTCTTCATGTTGTTAAGGAAGAAGGCGACCAAGGTTTGCGGGGACAATTCCTCTCCCTCCTTATGGAGGACCGCTTGTTAACTGCCCCCAACATCGCGGGTATGCACCAAGAAAATGCTAATGCTGGCATGAGCTATTACCAATGGTTAGGATTCATACGAGCCAAGTGTCAGAAATCATAAGCATCGGCATTGTTCTTTTAAAAAGTTAAAGCATGGTCCATAGCATTAAAGCAAAGCCAGCACTCGTTTAGTCAAATAGACATTTTGCAAGCAACTCTGTTATTTCATACATATACATTCCTTTCAATAATGTCAGGATTTTTTTTTCTTCCTTTTGTCTTGCTGTTGATTCATTCAATGAATGTCTGCGGTAGAAGAACGGAGGGAAACCATGTGCCCAAACAGAAACAGATGATGAAAACTTTTTATGCCATGGATATAAAGAAAAATATTACTACATGTGAGAGAGATTCTATGATGGATTGTATTATACTACTATGTAAGCGAGCGTGCGTCTAAGCTTTGAACTTGGACAAGGTCTCGCTGGAAGCCTTTTTGCCATCCTTATCCAAAATAGAGACATTCTTTTGTCCAATCAATTCCTTGAATGCTTTGCTCTTGGCATGCTTGTTACCGCGACCAGGGTTCATCTTCTCAATGACCTTGACTTCTCTTTCCTTCATGACCTTTTCCTTTCTCTTGGACTTCTTCTTAGCCGCGCGTAACTTGGCTCGTTCGGTTTGGTCTAACTCAGTCTCGCCCTTAACGTCCGTGCGCTTCTTATCAAACACTTCTTCTGGTGCCAATAGCGTTGCATCCGACACATTGACGGGTATGACTTCTTCCATGCTGATAGCAGCTGCATTGCTGACCACAGTGATTTCAGGCTTGGGTGCTTTGGGAGTGTAATGGAAGTTGCTGAGAGCATCCAATTTCTGGCAAAGTCCCGAGAACATTTCGTCAATATCGGTATGTTCTTTCTTGAGCTTTTCATCCTTCTCGTTCGTGTGAGCGCCACTGGTTTTCTTGACATAATCATCTTCGTACAACTCTGCAAGTGACTTCTTAGACTTGCTGTCATCCAACTCCACCAACTTGGAGGGCAAGAAAGGTCGATCCGCAGGGTCTGCCTTGCGTTCAACGTCATCGAATTTGTCCTACAAGGTTGTCAGGTTAGTGGGAAGGGACTTGTCAGAAAGATGTAGGTGGAAAAAAAAATTTACCTCGATGATACGTTGCTTGATAATATCCTCCAGCGATGCTGTTGTTTCTTGCGTTATAACAGGAACAGGCTAATAAGAAAAGATGTTAATAACTGCTGATAGTCCATGCTCCATCTCAACCCTTGGGGTCAACTCACCTTAGCAGCATGATCAAACTCAAGGTTCTCTTCCAATAAACTGTTGAGTGGGCGAGCCTTTCCAGATGCCTAGCGATGGAAAGATATTGGTAAGTCAATTGAAAACAGCATACAAATATGCAGACTCTCATTGAAAGATATTTTACCTCTCCTCCCAAAGTCCAGTCCTTAACACCAACGTTCTGCATTTCGAGTTCTTCGATTTGCTCCTTTATACGCTCGAGTCTCTTTTCGTGACCAGACTTTGAGCCTACTTCCTTATCTTCTTCATCGTCTTCGAAAAGCGACTTGACCTTGGTAGTATCTTCCTCGTCATCGTCTTCGAGATCACTGGCACTTTCTTCTTCCTCCTCCTCTTCATCGTCATCCATGAAATCCATTGCCTTAGCCTTCTTTTTTGGTGCGCTCTTGGGTCGGTCATTTGAGCGATCACCGCGAGTGTAAAATGGTTTGGGTGGTGGTTTGAAGAAATCCGAAAACATGACATCTTTTTGAAAAAAAGGAACCAGAAATAGAATCAAAAAGACAGAGAGGAGGGGATCAGCTATTTGAAAATATGACGAGGCGAGAGGCTGTTTCATACGTACCGTTGGCATTTTGTTCTTCATCCTCCTCTTCAAGGTCGTCTTCCAAATCTTCGTCGAAATCAATGTCCTCGTCTAATTCTCGTTCGGATTCAGATAACATGTCTTGTTCTTCTTGCTTCTCGGTCCATTGATTGAATTCCTTCAGGTCAAAGAATTCATCATCCACTTCGGTTGGTTTTGTAGTTCGAGTTGGTCTAGAAAGTCATGTTATGTCAGTTGATGCAGTTCAATTCCAGTAGGTTGGCAATCTTGATCCAGACAAATCATTACCTATCGTCAAACTCTTGGAGGTCCAAAGCATCATCTTCCTCTTCTTCAACTTCGATGTCCTTGAATTTATCTTGTTCATCATCTTCTTCGAGTTCTCCTTCTTCCTCGTCTGACTGCTCTTCCAAGGCATCCTTAAAGTCGGCAGTTTCGTCGCTTCCAAGATCTTGTTCAAAGTCGTCGGTCTCGTCCATAGCTTCTAATTCGCTATCTTCATTGGCTCCATCTAGGCCATCGCTCGATTGTGATTCTTCCTCCTCTTCAAAGTATTCAAGCTGTTCCTTTGCGTACGCTATGAACGGATTGTTCTGCAATGCCAATTCTTCCCAGATCTGCTCATTATCGAAGCCTTCGGTGAGTAATTCGTCAAAAGGTGAGAACTGTACTGTTTCAATCTTTTTTGCTATTGTGTGGAATGAAAAAAAAAAGTTAGTGCAGTCATGCATGGTGTGATTGAGTAGAAATGCTGTAACTAACCTGTGTCGAAGAGATTTTTGGCGGCGGCAATAGCTTTGGCTGCACTTTTCTCGTCTTTGGCAAAAAAGATTTGAGGCTTCTCAATCACGTCTTTCACAAAGGTGTCCAAGACGCTGACGGGCTGCTTGGCTTGTTGAGACCTGCGAGTGCCAACCATTGAATGAGCTTAAGTGAGTCGATTCGAGTTTCC